CATAATCTCAGATTATGGACCCAGATTGGTTTATCTCATAGTAATGGCTGTGTGGGCTGCAGTTACTATAGCTAGGGTGTCCATATAACATTTCATGCTTTAACAACTCACAGAACATGTCCTTGGGTTGATTCAGATGCCTCTTGTGCAGTTGGGTAAAAAACCCTGAACCTGGGAGTCAGTAGCTCCTGAATCTTCCCCAACTACATTTGGGAAGGTGCTAAACATTCCCTGATAAAGTGTGTAATTTCTTTCTCTAGTTGCTACCATTATGAAGTCCTGCAAAAGTATTCAAAGATCTCTAGTAGCTGGTTGTGAAGTTAAACTATAACTGGATTGCACTTGATGTTTTGAAAAATGTTGTCTAAAACCATTATGTGACTGTATGAGCTGATTTAATACCCACAATCCTTTCGTTGCCCTGGGCTGAATTTTAATTGCTGTAATAATATTCGTCCTGTTTCCTAGAAATCCTGGAAGGCTGTCACTTGTTTTCTTTAAACCCATTCTAAAAAAAAAAATAAAAATCCTATTTTCTTTCTATTTCTTGTAAACCTTTTCTGATATTCATTAAAACAAATCAGTGCAACTCCCAGCCCACAACAATTGTTCTCCATTATCCCCTCCAACTTTGAAAAAGAAGAGGGCAATTTTTGATCCAGCTGTTCAGTGGGATATCCCAGGTAACCAGAGATTTTGTCACGCACAGACAAACCCTTAAAGTCTCATCCAAATCCCAGTGTAGACTTTGGGTGTCATAGAGACTTGGCTTAAGTTCACTACTGATTACAGATTCTTTATTCGGCTGAGAGCTGGTGCCATTTCTGAGTTTATTTTCTTTCTTTTTTTTGGGGGGGGGGTACTGATAGATAGCTATCTAAGTAATTTGGATTAGTCTTTTACTTACATCAAATTAGCTCTCCTCAAAATCAGACTTACCAGTTGTATTTGGTGAGAATGCTAATGTTTGTAATTAACCATTGCATCATTTCTCACAAGTGCACCAGAAGCCCTAAGGGAAAATCAGTTCTTCTGGCATTTGAAGGAAATTTTTAACAAACCGCATCTAAAGTCCACGGAAACCATCCCCTACATTGTCCCAAGTTTGGCATGTCGCTGCATTAACTCTACAGTCATATTCACTGCCTCTTCACAGGCCCCTTCTGCCTCAGCCTTCCCACCCTGGGCTCATCTGCAGAGCAGGGGAGGAGTTTGCCAGCAGAGTAGCTCCTTAGAGTTCCCCTTGCCCAGTGTCCTTTGTACAATGCCTTGGACACATCTACAGGACATATTTTCCAGGCTTCCAAATCTCAGTGTCAGCTTGGCTAACCTACCTATAATTATGGGAAAGGTGGTCTCTTTACTTGCTAACACAGTTTTTTATACCAGTAGGGTTTTAAATTGGATGCCATGGGAATTATGGGAGAGTTGGCAGGGTATAATGCAGTGTTTTCCAAAACTACACCAAGTAACTAACGTAGGTCCTGGCAATCAGTTGGCTCTGTCATTTCTGCTTAGAGTTACCACACAATTTAGGGTGAAAAACTGTAACTGCTCCCACCTCTTGCTCCAATAACAGCCAGCTTTTATGGCACGTACAGCTTCAAAGTTACATCAGGCAACTCAGGCCCTGGTTAGTTGCTTTTTAAAATATCTCTAAGAGGACTCCATAAAACCTATTCCAGTGTCCATAATCACATTGTCTTTTTTTTTCTTTTCTAATGTCTAATGTGAATTTCCTGTGTTGCTGTTTTTGTGGATTGCACCTTGACCCTTCACTGTGCACCTCCAGGCTCTCTGCACTCTCTTGTTAGAAGTCTAAAACAAGCAATAAGCCCTCTCTTCTTCAGGCTGAACAAATCCAACTGTCTCAGCCTCTCCTCATAAATCATGTGCTCCATCTGAGGAATAACAACTAATATATGATATATTACTGAACTGACATGACTGGTTTACTTCTGGGACCAAAGCTGGTAGTTTTGTACTCACACAGTGCACCTGGAGTTATTTTAGGTGTTTTGCCATATAGACAGAAAGTGGATGAGGAAACAGCTTAGTTTCACAATACTGATTATCCTAATGTGTTGCTTATGAACACCATTATTTCTTTAAGCCACTCAGTACATCTGAAATATTGTGGTGCATTTAGATTTTACAGTGCCTTAGTTGTACGTCCATTCTGGGTACACAGATGACATGCCAAGGAATAGCAGGGATGAATCAGGCACAGCTGTGATATTAGGGGCAGAGAAGTAAAAAAATTGTAAGGAAGTTCAAAGCAGCCACAAAATATGGCAATGGCATCACCAGCAGTTGTATAGCTGCTGGGAAGCAGCTCACTGTTACTGTTGATCAGAGTAAGTACTATGTAGCACACACATGACTTGGCTGAAGCAATGACTTTCTTCATACCGGCTGAAGATGCTAATATGATGGCATTCACACCAAAACCTTCTCATTTTTGTTGCCATTTTGTGCTGAAAGGGTCTCTTGCCGTTTCATTTTGCTAACATTAGATAAGTGATTGATGAAGATCTTCACTTGGCCACCTAAGGAGACAGCGCTCAGCAGACAAGTAGGGCCAGTGGCTGGAATATATGGGGCAAACCCATGTATAATGGAGCTGTGCCTGCAAGTAAAAGTAGTCAAAGCAAGACAGTGACAACATAACCAAATTTGTTTCAGAGAATGCCTCACACAACAAATATGAAATTGGTCAAAACGCTCCTGGCTCCCCTTTGAAACTTTTTGCTCTTTGTTTGATGCAGGGTAGGAAAAGGCAAGAAAGAAACTACTGCCTGTGCCTGAGGTTTTTACTTGTACTCTGTGCTGAGTTTTATGGGGCAGGCACCAGTAACAGAGCAACCTGGGCTGTAGCAGAGTTGAGGTGCAGAAGTGTCTGTGTGAATGACTCTGCCAGTGCCTGTTGGAGGGAGGCAGCTGCCTTCCCTTGTTTTAAGCACGGATGTAGTGTGTAAAGAGAACAATACCTTTCCCGACCAGTGCTGTTTGTGAAATGATGATTAGGCTGTCTCTGAACTATAACGTGGTTTTACAGGAGCTATTCAGGTGGGAGTGGAGAAAGTCGAAACTCACCAGGCTTTTATTTTACCTTTTCTCCTGAGGTGCCCTCTGAATAAAGGCTTTTTGCACCATAAATCAATGCCCCAGCCTGCCATTATGCAGCACAGAGTTACTGGCATTGTCATGAGCAGTAAACCACCAGGCCTATGGCTCAGAATCATTCACTACCTCTTAGCACTTTGCCAGGTCCTAGCCAGAATCTAAAATTCCTAATTATTATCTTCTTATCTGAGCCCCTCTATGGCTTAAGAAAATGCGTCTTCTCTGAAAGTTGCTCAGACTTACTCATGCATTGATTCTTCATCAGGCAGGGGCTGGTGTCAAAAGATTTAAAATCCTTTGCAGTCCTTGTGGCAGGATCTTCCTCAGAGCAACTTTGTGACACGTATGTCAGAGTGGTTATTTCACTTTCCTCGGCCCTATCTTCACTTTGTTCAGTGCAGGAAGTAAAAAAAGGACACAGCAATACAGAACGTTTTAATTCAGAACCTCTCTCCCTGCTTTGCAGCTGGTACTTTAAGGAAATGCATTATATTTGATAAATGCTAGAAATCCATGCACTACGTGAGAAATGCCAGTCAGATATTCAGGTTAAAAGGGTGCACTTGCTGCAAAGCATACTTTCACACTTGGAGTCTCAAGTGTAATATGTTTTTCTCCCCCTTTTTCCTAGATGTTCTTTATAGAATTGCAGACTGTGTTTTAAAACTGTGAATTTTAGAAAGTGTAGTGCTGTCTCAGGAAGTGCTATGGATACCCATACCCGAAGAAAGAAACAAAATTTAGCAAGTATTTTGGGTATATTTCCATAACTAGATTTTAGTGAAACCTGTCTGTGTAAATAAACTTCTTTAAAATTATTTGAGATTTTGATTTGTTAATGAAACACTTTAAAACATTTTCTACCAAGAATTTCCTTTTCCTCTGGTTAGAATTCTACATTTTCCCTCAGATTTTCTTCAGACTGATATGGCTGCAATATTTTAAACCAAAATGGAAACATAAGTTGCTAGAAAACCAGACTTAAGATTTGTGTCCCAAACTTGTGTCCCAACCCACCAAGACTGTGGTGGGTTGATCTTGGCTGCGTGCCAGGTACCAAGCCGCTCTATCACTCCCCAGCCAGACAGAGGAGAGAGAATAAGATGGAAAACAACTCGTAGGTTGAGATAAGGCAGTTTACTAAAGCAAAAGGGGAAGTTTGCACACACACAAGTGAAGAGGAAAATAACAGGGTTTATTCTCTGCTTCTCATCAGCGAGAGATGTCCAGCCACTTCCCAGGAAGCAGGGCTTCAGAATGTAGAGCGGTTTCTCAGCAGGCAGACATCGTGAACAGCAAATGCCCCTCCATTCCTTCTTTTTTCCTTAGCTTTTATATCTGAGCTGACATCATATGATTAACCTTTGGTTAGCTGGGGTCAGCTGGCCTGGTTGTGTCCCCTCCCAGGATCTTTCCCTCCACTGGGGTGGGGGGGATGTTACAGTGCTGATGCTGTGCCAGCGCTGCTCAGCAGTCACCAAAACACTGATGTGTTATCAACACCTTTCTAGCCACCAAAGCAAAGCACAGCACTGTGAGGGCAGCTGTGGGGAAATGAGCTCCATCTCAACCAGGCCTAATACGGGTAAAATTAAGCTGCTGCTTTAAATGAACTGCAACTGTAAGAAACGGTGGAAGGTTTTTGTGTGTGTGTTTGTAGGGTTTTTTTAATCCCAATAGTTGCTTGATTCCTTATAGCAATTTTCTTTCTTTTATTTTTTTCAGGATTAACAAACCTTAAAAGGACTCTGAGAACACATTCATCATTTTGTCAGGCTTGACCAATGAATTTTATAAAATTCCAAGGATATTTTGAAAGGGTCCTGCCCAAATTTCAGTCAAGGAGTGACTCTTAATAGAAAACATGTCATATGTTTTTACCTGCAACTAATATTTTGGTGCTTCATTATACGGCAAAAGTCTGCTTGTGGAGAAAGAAGACTCCTTCTGTTAAGAAATTTTTTTCACTGGTGGAAAAGGCTGGCTTCCCCTTATAATATGAAGTCCTTTGAGAAAAGCTGGCTATTTCTGCTGCTGCCTGTCATGCTAAGAGTGGTGTGTTCCTCCTTTATCAGCGTGAACCGCGGGGTGAAAGTGATGAAGGGACAGTCTGTCTTCCTGTTAGAAGATGACCTCAAGTTTTCCATCCCCAGAGAGAAGGATGTCTGCAAAGTTGAAGTTGTGATTAATGAGCCAATAACGCAGAGAGTTGGAAAATTAACTCCACAGGTATTTGGGCTCCATTGTGCTGCTTTGAGTGTCCATGTGGTAGAAACTAGAAAGAGCTGCCTTACTGTTTTTTTTTTCTTTTGGATAGTGACTAAAAGGCATGAAACTGAATGGTCTGTGACATTTAGCCTTTTGCTTAAGCAGACAGCTGGCAGAGAACTGTAACACAGAAATCCAAAAACTGAGCTCAGTAACATGAGTGAACGGAAGTGAGTTTGGTCAGAGTCTCCTTTCACAAGCAAAGAATGAGTATTTCAAAACTTTCGGTTAGGAGATATTCTTGAGCCTCTCAGTTGCTTGCTTTCCAATCATGAGGGTAATGAGTGCCCCTTGGGTAATGCATACCCCACTAGAGCATTTTGCATTTTAGTCACGAAGCCACTACTTAGGGAGCAATTAAGAAAAAAATAATCACATACAATAAGCACATTGTGTACACCATTGTTTGCTCTGCTCTGCAACATCCAAATTGCTAGCAGATGGCAAATACATTAAACTCCCCCTGTTTTCTGTTCAAATGTCAAGCCTGTAGGAATAATGAGATGTATCTCACGTATCACCGTTCTGCTACTCATCTGCTTTACAAATTGCCCCACCTGAGTCATAGCAGGAAGGATTATAAAGTAATTGACGTGAAGAGGTAATGGTATAGATAGAAGATGAATGGTTTTAATAAACCACAGGAAAACAGGTTTTGTCTTTTTGAAAAATTTTGTTTATTGTACCATACAGCATACACTTTTGTGTATTTATATATGTATATAGTTTTAAACATCCTTTCCAAGTTTTTGGCAGCTTCTGCGAAGGTAGGTGCAGGAGTATCAATAGATTTTTCAGAACTTTTTTCTTGGTCATCACTGTTACTTTTGCAGACCACTGACAAGTATTTCAGCTGAATCAGTGCTGCTAAGGAGCATAGGCAGGGAAAACAGGAGGTGTTGCAATGAGCAGGGCAATGTTTGATCTTCTCTAGAGACTGGCCCCAAGAAATGTAGTGCATCTGCTGAAACTTCCCCAGGGCTTGTTCTCTACCAGAACAGCGATTCTGACCATAGTACCCCACCTCTACTTCCCCAGTATAGGTTGGCTCTTGATGCATATAAACATAGACTCATTAAGGTTGGAAAAGACTTTGAATATCATTGAGTCCAATCATTAACCCAGCACTTCCATGTCCACTACTAAACCATGTCCCTAAGCACCACATCTACACAAGTTTTGAACACTTCCAGGGATGGTGATTCCATCACTTCCCTGGGCAGCCTGTTCCAATACCTGACCACCCCTTCAGTGAAGAAATTTTTCCTAATATCCAATCTAAAGAAGAGGAAGAAAAAGAGGAGAAAAAGAAAGACACATGTCAAACCTCTGGCAAACCTCTTCTGTAGGCAATGTGACTGAAGAAGTGACTTTGCTTTCAGTTTCCACCTCAGCTTCTATGTGCAGTAGGACTCAGGTATCTTGAAACAGACTCTTTGTCCTGTGTAAACCAACATGTTTCAAGCACATAGTTAGAGGTACTTCTCAAGAAGTCCCAGGAGATGTGTATTCCCCATACCTTGTTTTCCAAAATAGCTACGGTCCTTGACTTCCCCACTCCCAGCTCCACCTCTGTTGAGTACCTGTCCTTTCATGGCTCTGATGTGTGCCCAGGCAGTCGAGTGTGGCTCTTGGAGGCTGCAGGCATAACTGATCTAGAGGGAAGGGCTCTGCTGGGCAGGTGGCCCTAGGGTACCAGGCTGCAGAGAGCTGTGGTTGCTTCTGCTGCCTGAGCTTTCACTGTTCCCAAACAAAGGTGCTAGAGTCTGGATTTCCTGGTGCCACTCATACTCTTTCTACAGGAGATTCTGCAGCTAGAAAATGTCTCTGCTATGATCTGGTTTACTGCCAGTACAGTGAGTAATGTTCTAGGAATGTATGACAATTTAATTATCAATTGTAATTGAAAGGCAGTTGAAGTGGAAAAAAACAAAACTAAACAGTAATTAGGAAAAGATTTAGATCTCCTTCGTCTTACCCAGCAAATTTATAGCCAATTAGAGTTGCCTGTTCATATAAAAGGAAAACATATCAGGAAACATAAAACAGATGTTTCTTTTTGCAAAGCAGATTGTGTCTTAATACACATATAAACTGACTGTCAGTCAATGGTAGCAGATCTTTATGGAAAGGTCCTTCATTTTCCATTCCCTTGTTAAAAATTAAGATGTGGAACTAGTGATGTCTTAAAAATAGAGAAATTAATTCTTTGATATGATGGGACCTGATGTAGACTCTCTCCATGATATTTGAAAAGTTATAGCAGTCAGGGCAAGTCCCAGTTTCCAAACTGGAAGAAGGGAACATTTTACATCTTTAAAAAGCGTAGATCCTCCCTGCGGTCTACTGACCTGTCAGCCATCAGCCTCCCCTCTGTGCCTGCGAAGATCATGGAACACATCCTCCTGGAAGAGCTATGGTAAGAGATATGGAGGACAGGGAGGTAATTCGGGACAGCCGGCATGGCTTCACCAAGGGCAAGTCCTGCCTGACCAACCCAGTGACCTTCTGTGATGGAGTGACTGCAGCAGTGGACAGGGGAAGGGCTACAGATGTCATTTATCTGGACTTCTGTAAAGCCTTTGACACAGTCCTCCAACAACATCCTTCTGTCACCAAAACCCTACTGACTTCGAGGGCTCATCAGTCTCATCTTCAGGATACAATATTAAGCTTCTAAAGCTGTAATACGATTGGGTTTTGTGTATAATACACTTTCTTTTTTTCCCAGAAGGTAACACACCACGTAACTACTTCTTAATTTTATTTTCCATTTTTGTAGAATATCACTTAAGACTATCTAATTAATTGCTTAACTGTCGTGTTCCTTTATGTTAGTTTGTAGCAAGAAAGAAAAGACATTAAGGAAGAAAAATACATATTTTTTTTTTTGTTTGGAAAACAGCAAAGCACGTATTTCTGTGGCATTTGAAAATAATACACAACAGAACAGTCACAACATAGTCAGAACGTTCATCATATGAGAGTAATTTTGTTTTTCACAAACTGTTTTTGTTCTTCCTTTCTAAGCAGTCCTAACAAATGAAACCAATCGTACTTTTGGTAACACTGTGTAATATGGATTATTTCAAGAGGTTAATCCATGTGTATGTGTCTGAAAATCAAACCCATTACTTAAAAAAAAAGGCTTTGTACAGTACATGTCTTGATGAAAATTAAAAGCAGGCAATACATTTAAAAATTGCTAGGAATATGGAACAATTATCACATATCTTGAGCATCTGAGAATAACTTCAGTAGAAGTGGACCCTTCCAGTAATAATAAAAGCTGATAAATTCCAATCAGTTTTCCATTATGACAACTAATTTAGGAATTAGAGTATTACTTTATTTTTACAGTGAAAATAAGAGCATTCAAAGATTTTCTCCATGAGCTGCATTTCCAGTCAGCATTTTAGAATCTCACTAAAATCCCCCAGCCATTCCACCATCCTCCAAAGTGTTTGGGGAAATGAAGGTAATTCAAGCAAGGTACTTCATTTTCATGATTCTTTTGTCATATTTTAAGAAATAACTGTCAGTAAGAAATGAGCTCTTTAAAAAAAAAAGTGGTATGTCATTCAGCCATATATGTATATTAATACTTATTTGTTATGGCCTCGTTAGGTCTATTAGTGAATGTTGAACAGATTTTGCTTTAGTCCATGGAAGTCCATATAACTATTTGTGAATACTGCCCATAAAAATGCAACCATTTAGATTCACAGTGAGACAAGAAATGTCGTGATTAGCTTTCAGCTCCCTGCTGACAAGAATATGCCTTGTCTCTCTGTGGATATGAAACATGAGTATCCTCCATCCTCCATGGACTGTGTAGAGTTTCTCTGTTACCAAAGAGATAACACAGACATAGTTTTATCAATCCTAGGAGCTTTCATCTGATGTTGCCAGACTTGAAATTTGCAGTATGCCAGGACATGAACATTGTATGCCCCAGAATCCAAACCCCTTTTGTAAAGAATAAGTGTGTCGGAACTCTGCAAAGCAATGTTTTTTCTTTTTGTGTCAGGCACTTTTCCAAATTGCCTTGCTTTCACAAGTCGACCAACCATTAAATAAATCAATCTGCCTGAAACAAGTGCCTGGCTTAGATGGTTAAACTGTGGCCAGACAGCCTCACAGATTTTGCCTGTATCAGATATGTCACAAGAATTAGTCTATTTTGATTTATCTGTTGGAGACAATGTAGAAATTTGCTTGCTTTTGTGCTGTGAGATTGCAGTGACTTTGGGATGGGGTTGGTATGGCACAGAGATGACATCTGATCTAGTAAAGAGCTACTGGTACAAAGTCAGTATCACAAAAACATGGAACAGATCTCAGTTGGCAAAGTTTCTAACAGAGAAGTTTCTCTGGGTCATACTTTTGTAATCCAGTGGTAGTGACCATAAATTAAGATTTACTGTATAATCAAGCTACCTCCATAAGCAACTTTAGAAGCTAATAAATCTCACATTACAATGCAGGATCTGCTGATTTTTCAGCACCACTGCAGTTGAATACCACCTGCATCCTTAACTCCACAGGCTGCAGTGGTCAAGAAGTATGAGCTAAAACTATTTGTTGCACAGGGGAGGGACTTGACAGCCTGAAACAATCACCTGTGGCCATTCCCCTCCTAACTGTGGAGTGCTAGCAGCCCCCCATTAAAGTGGTTGCTCTGACTCTCACTGGAAGATTACAGAACAGGTGAATATCTATTCATAGAAATGAAATATGTATTAAGAATTCCCTCAGTCTGATGCATTACTGACATTCAGAGAGAAGTGGAACAGATGCCGTGAAGTTAATATCTTTGACAGTGTTGTACTAGTCTATTCTTTCTCCTTCATAGGTTTTTGACTGTCACTTCCTTCCTAATGAGGTCAAATATACCCACAATGGCTGTCCAATTTTAGACGAAGACATGGTCATGCTTCGGCTGTACAGGTAAGCAATGGCAGGAGATCACACTTCACTGTTACCAGGAGCCCAGCTGACCTCAGGAAGAGCAAACAGTCCGTTTTTTCACAGTAGAAGCATGTTCTGCTGTACATGTTGTAACTACTTCGATCCAGTAGCTGCATCATTAGTCAACAAGTGACCATCTGTTTACAGAAACATTTCTCACCATGTATTGCAGGTACACTTGTGTAATGTGCATTATGTATTGCTTGCTTATGACAGAAACTCAGTGATTTTTCATTATGCTATTGAGAGTGACAACAGTGCTTTCAGATTGCTGTATATTCTCTGCTGTTCTGCTGATAGGGACAGACACTTGTATATACACAGAGAGTAAACTCTTCCTTCCCATAGACACCCTGCTTGCAAGAATGGGGAGTCATGCAGCAGGGTCTGAACCATGGCAGTCTGGGATTTGAGGGCACAAGAGAGAAAGGGGTTCAAGTAACTCAGTTTAGAAGATAAGGACAGTGCCCAGTTCACAAAACAAAAGAGGATGGGATGGAGCATAATTAATTTTCTTCTGTCACTTGCAGGTTTACAGAAGTGGAAACATTTGTAGAAACATTCACCCTTCACGTGCAGTTACTTGAGCCAGACTGTAACATCATAAAAATGCGCTCCCATGCCCTGGAGGTCCCTGAGTACTATGGTCTGTCCAGGGTGATTGACAAGAACATTCTCACTTTTGATTATGACAGGAAGATAAATCTGGATTGCACCATTTCCATAATCTCTTCAGAAACCCACCTGCCTGCACATGGCCAGCTCACCACCGGGAAAGTGCAGCAAGAGCAGATTCATGGAGATCAGCCACAGAGCTTATTCCCTGGCACTAGTACGATGTGCTTCACTTGTTTGCATTAGCATGTTCAAAGAGACCCAGCAGATTAAGTCTGCAGTAGTGGGTTGTTTCAGACATGCTGGGTAAGAGTGGGTCATGTGAAGTTTAATGAACAGCTTGAGCTATCATGGACATGAAAGAGATGTGAAATTTTTGTGGGGCGCAATGCAGATCACAGATCTGGGTCAATAATTCCCTGATTGGAGTCTTTTTCTGGCTCCTAGACACGTGGACCAATGTGACCACCTTGTGAGAGCCAAGACTCAATAGAAACAGTATAAGGAGTTGTTTGAGGCAGCAACTAACCAAGAGACCAAGGGAGGATGAGGCTGGAAGATGTCAGTTGAAAACAAAATCCTGTAGGAAAAGTTAAGTCAGGAAAGGAGCCCTAATTCTCATCCCACTGACTTTCTATCAGAGTTAGTTTAGTTGTATAGACAGGTTCCCCATGTCATTTTTCGCTCCAGTAACAGTTTCATTATTGCTTCTGTTGGTTTACAGAGCACAGCCTGGGCCAGCAGTGCAGAAATGGGAGCTGCATGCTGGGACTAGGAGTCATTCACAACAAAAAAATGAGCTGTGAAGAATTTCTGAGGATGGGGATTCGGTATAGACATCTTGACCCTCCCTCACCTGACACTGATTATATTCCTGTGCGGTTGGATCTCACAGACAGCAGAAGCAAAACTCTGCACAAGGTAGATTTTTATGCAAGATTACAATGTCTGATTGTCTTCCCATTTTTAAAAAAAAGAAAAAAAAATTCATTGGTCCTTTTCACATTTGAAGAGAGATAGGGAGCCTTAAACTTTGTTCAGCTCCTAGAATGCTGCCAGCTGAGAAAAGGAAAGGCATTATGTCCATGCCTCTATGCTTTGGCCATTATGTCTACAGAGAAACATCTCTGGTTGATTACTGTCAGACATAAGTAGTTTATCCTGAAAGATAAATTAATTCTGGCACATTTTTTATACAGCATGATCTTCAATGACTTCAAAATATACAGTAATTAACAAGCTAAGAGTTGTGTGAACATATTCAGTTAATAATAATTAATGGCTTGTGTATGCTTCTGTCAGATAAAGTTATTCATTAAACTCCCATTAAATTAAGTAAGTTGTTTCAGCCCCAAATTAAGGACACAAGTAAGACTAGTGAACCTGGAAGTCATATTTATGACATCTAAATATTTACTTTAGGCATTTTGCAATTAAAAGGTTTCAGTTATTTTTTTCAAAATAATTATTGCATTAATGTGTACCCCAATTCACTCCATGAAGCTAGCAGAAAATGAATTTACTTTGTTTGCTAGACTTTGCCTTTTCAGTTGTCTCATTTTTTCCTGTTATAGACTGAGTATGCGTGGCTCCCTGTTCACATTAAAGGTGCTGTTCCCAACCAAATACCCAAAGCTGCCCCAATGGCAAAGTTCATCCTCGAAGTAGACCAATTTATTTTAACCCCCATTTCAACCACAACCATTGATGCTGAAGACAGTGAAACTCCAAAGTCGCTGCTTGTATTCAACATTACCAAGCCACCTCCTCAGGGCTTCATCACTCACCTGTCTGACCACACAAAACCTATTGGCTCCTTCACCTGGAGAGATCTCAGTGACATGCTCATTGCTTATCAGCCTCCAAATAACAGCCACACAGAGAGGAGGAATTATGAGGTAACAGTGGAATGTATGAGCATTTGCTGTTTTAATCTCTGAAAAATTCAGTGAGCTGTAAATAAATGCATTCGTATGTAATGGATATTTTTCAGGAAAAAAAAGTTTCTATAACTATATACAGTGCAGGAGCAGAGGTAAAATCTTTTACCATTTTTCCCTATGACTCATCACTAACTATCTAAAAAAATTAGATATTTATTACTGACTATGTAAGAATTTCTTTGCACTGAAATCTTTTTAGCCGCTCTGACTGAGAATATCTAAACAGGATGTTTATTTTATTTGATTTGATTTTACTTTTTTATAAGGGGAATAGTGAAATAACAGTACTTGTAGGTCTACCCAAGAGCCTTTGGAAAAATCAGTGGTGCCTTTTCCACACAGCTTTTATCCCTACATGACAGTACTCATCCCTGTGACCTCTGTAGAGGTGACATATTTAAAGTCATGAAAGACAGACCAGCTAAAGGTCAGGAGTGCCATTTGGTCTTACAGCCTACCTGCTGTGGCAATGGTGGCATACAGATAACAAAAAGGGACTCCCAGCAGTTCCTGATGGGAGTGATAAAAGCATGTCACGAACACAGAGAACATGATGCAAATGATGAGATCAAGCTGCTGTCTGCAGAGTCTGGAGTAAGTTATAAAATAACTGTCTGGTAAGATAGTTAAGGAATTCCCTGATCTAAACAAAATGGTTGGTACTAAAGTAATGAAACTGAAGAAAGAAAAGTCAGAGTAAGGTTAAACTGAGGACAAATGACTGGAAAGCAGAGGAACAGTAACAGTAACTGGCACCTGATGCTGACAAGGGTTGTCTCTTTTTTAATCTTGGCTGTCATAGGAACCTCCTATCTTTCTGTTTCCTTGGTGTGAGGATCAGACATCCTTCTGAACCATCTGCTCCTTAAATGCCTTGTCTCTGTCCTGCTTTGAGCATAGTTTGAGTGCAGGTTCAAGAATTTGACAGTCCCAGAGTCTGACAACTCAAGACTGGTTTTTTTTTTTGTAATTATATTTTTTCTATGCCACCCCATATATTTTCTTTCATATTTGCTTTTATATGTCTTACAAGAGCAGGAAATGCCCCCACCCACTTTCATTATTGCTAATAAAAAAAAGCGTTATATTAATTGCTGAGTTAATTGTACCGCAAACAACAATGAAAATGCTTATCTTTCCCATTCATTTCCACACACTGCAAACTAACTTCCTCAGAATTCACTGTGAAGAGCACAGAAGACAGATAGTCTTCTAGTGCAGAATTTCAATGGTTTTTTTTAGAAGTTAAATCAAGTTTTGTTTAACATATTATCAGAAGCCTGTAAGATCTCTCAGAATAGAATGCACTATATGTGTTTTGAGGTACATTTGTTTTTCAGGGCCTTTATTTTTCAATAAACACTTCATCTGTTTTCACAACAGGTGGAGTTTGAGGTTCATGACTTCCACTTTGAAAGGAGTTTACCAGTCACTGTCCATCTTTCTATCAGAACAACAGATACAAATGCCCCTCGGGTTTCATGGAATACAGGTGAGATCTCTCTTGTTCAGTTTACTTTGCTACAGAATTTATAACATTTTTTCACAGACATTTGACAAAACTCTAAAATTCAGGTTTATATCTGGAGTTTAAGGATCATTAAACCGAAGGGGCATAAATCTGTTCTTTCCCTTTATCCATTTTGGAGGGAACATGTTATAACAACTTGAAAAAATCTAAGATTTTAACTGGAATGTAGAATAAAGAAAAATGGGAAAATCAGGATTTCTTTATACAGCATTTTCTTTAAGAATGAACTGTACATAAAAATGCTTAAATAGTAAGGACAAATGTACGATGGAATAGAAATAGTAGGGTAGCATGTGGAAAAGACCAAGGCTTGTTGGCGTTTAAAGTGGAAGTGTGCAAAAATGAACAACTGGGAAAAGAGGACATAATATACCACCAACCATTTAAATCCTGGAAACTTTACAGGGTTAAGCCTAATTCAAACAGATTTATGATGCCTGCACTGTGAAGGGGAGAGGGTCTCCTGTTAGAGAGTGAAATGTACATTGATATTTAATCATCAAAAGACAAAACTGTATCATCAAATGAGTCTTGAAGTTAATGCTGGAGAAAGTGCAGATTCCTCACCATAGAAAGGGAAGGAGCTGAGAGGAAGGCACTTCGTGTCTTCCAGAGAAACCCACCTGAAATGACTGTCAGAATAGAACGAAGGAATGCTGTTCTCCATCATGAAGATCAATATATATTTTTAAATGCAGACTCACGAAGGAAGCTGAGTGCCCAGTTTCAGACATTGTGAGATTTCAAGTGCAACACTCCTGTCTGTGCAAATGTCCAGAAATGTGCCTTGCTAGTTTATCAGGTAATTGGAACCAGATGTTGAGGAAACTTTCCTGTCTGATCGTTGAGATGGCCTCCTCTGTGGACCACACTTGCACCACCCAAGACCTTCACTGCTGTGACCAAAGCCCCTTCACAGCAGGCAGCTCCAGTGAGCCGATGGGTGCCCCTCTTGACTCCCTACACACACCACATTCACACTATAAGACTAGTTAGTGGCTCGAACCTGGGTTTTCCATAGCAGAGTCCCAGATATCTGGTTCCTTTATGTCATTCAACTTGGTGCAACAACACAAAACCAGCTCAAGCTGAGTGTCTGTACGGAGGGACCCTGAACAAAGGAATCCCTGGGCTTTTATACCCTCACAGTCTGTGTACTTGTCCCAGTGGTGATACTTCTTCTCACTGTTTATGGAATCCTTCAGTGTTTCTATGTGACCAGCCACTCCCTGTGCCCTTTGTTAGACAAAGGGTCTGTACCCATTCACGGTTCCTTTGCCTGGGGCTCCACCCATTTCCCCTCACCCAGGGCACAGTGTGCAGTTCGCACACCAAGCCACTCACATTACGTGTATTGTGCAGCACCAGAATAGACTATTCATCTGAAAAAGATGCCTTAAAGACAGTTAACTAAGGCAAGTATGTCAGAAGCTGTTATCAGGCTTTTAGCTAGCCTTAAAATCATAGCATCATGGAATCATCAAGGCTGGAAAAGACCTCCAAGATTATCGAGTCCAGCCTTCATCCAAAAATCACCATGCCCACTAAATCATATAGCCATGTGCCATGTCTAGTTGTTTTTTGAGCACTTCTGGGGATAGTGATTCCACCACTTCCCTGGAGAGCCTGTTCCAATGTTTAACCACTCTTTCAATGAAGAAATTTTTCCTGATTTCCAACCCGAACCTGGAAAGCCTGTCGCAGGTACGTGTGTACATGGAATTAAACATTCTGGTTTTTTCCCCTGTTTGTAAATGCCTGTGGAAGGGCTAGATGCTGACAACCTTGAATGTCACAGGTACTTTGGTGATGTAATGCTCTGCTCTTTGCAGGCCTCAACCTCCTAGAGGGGCAATCACGACCCATCACATGGCAACACTTCCAAATTGTAGACAATGATGACATCCAAAATGTTCACTTGGTCACTGTCGATGGCTTACAGCATGGGCGGCTCTCAGTGAGAGGTATGTCATTTCAACTCCAGAGACTGGGAACTTATCCTCTATCATAATGCAACAGCTCTACTCCCTCTGCTGACCACCTTCCCCTGCTACAACCATGCTGGGCATGGGGATTAAAAAAGGGATATTAAAAAATTTGGCATTTAAACCTTTACTTTCCTAATATATATTTACATTCCAAAGCTGAAATTTTAAAGAAATCAGCTATGCTTTCATTGAGAAGCATGACAGGTGAAATGCAGTCACTGCATTTTCATTTCTAAGATTTTTGCTTGCAAAATGCTAAAGAATGCCAAGTGATTTTGATTTATTGGCGAATACAGATAACATTTGGATATGGTTGATACTTACTGGCAGCTTTAAGGTTTATTTCCAAAAATGACAATTAAATTAGACTTCTAATTCATTAGCCTTCTGCCTTATCAATACTGCTAGCTTTGCTCTGCAGCCCATGAGATGGCACAGTGCTTGGGAAAATGCTTATGTAAAAAAAGAGACTCTGCTCTTCACAAGGTGGGAACATGCTGCCACTGTCAGTGCTGGGTTTTTTTGATAGTTAGACATATTCATGTAAAATGCATAATCTAGAGACATAAGTCAAGTATTTAAAGAAAAGGGGAAATTGATATTTGGAATTTAGTGGAAATAGAAACTACTTAGAAGTACATTTTATCTCAGGAAACTACTGCCAAGGAGTTAATTGTCTGGAAGATCATCCTCCTGTAAAACTACAGACACAAACTGTGTGGTGTCAGCAGTGCTGAGTAGGCTCAGTCCTGGAGGTAGTGTTACAGAGGGACTGTGCAGCCAGCCAGGAGCTGGAGGGTGGCTGCAGGCAGTAGAGCGGTAGACCAGCTGTGCCTGCAGGGCCCATCCTGGTGGCAGTCCCATACTTGCATGCTCAGTCTGAGGGTTTCTCAGACTCCCATGCATCAGTCAGGGCTGGATATTTCTTCTCCTTGTTCTCTTTTATATGTCTGCATAGGTACGTAAAGAGGAAACCATCAACACAATTTTTGGCAATTATCTTCTTTTTTTCTTTGTCTGGCAAGTGCCAAATGATGTTCAAACCTTAAAGGAATGCTTGGATTTTTCTCTTGGAGGTCCCGGTGAGATCATACCTTTCAGCACCAGATTGCAGTTCTTAAAACCTTTAACTTACCTGAATACTTGTCTGTATGCATAACACATCTAGTGAAGCAGAGGTATAAAATTGTTTTATTATAAACAGTAAAAAGCCTCAATATACAAAAAAACCTACAAATTTTTTACTTGCAATGAAATGCTGAATTTAATTATAAAGCATATTCTGTTTGATGCTTAAAATACATGTAAAATGTTCTGATAAGAAAGTAGAGGTTGAAATTAAAGTGGAAACAGTCACAGTTAAAAATCCTTGATGTCTCCATCCAAGTTATCTTTAGTGCATTTGGAGGACTTTTTCTGCATTTTTATTAATTAGTCCAATTTATACAAGCTTGCTTCTGATAGGTGAAGTTACATTTGATTCTTCTAGTTGGAAATGCAGTGTTTTCTCTCTCCCCTAATAACATTCATATTGGTAGAAGGATTCTCTTCTGGGCTGAACCACACATTTTTGATGCATTTTCTTCCACTGTTTTGACAGGAGGGAAAGGATTCCTGTTCACAGTCTCTGACATTCAGGCTGGAGTTGTTCACTACCATCATGATGACAGTGATTCTACTAAGGACTTTGTGGTATTTAGAATTTTTGATGGCCCCCACAGTATTCGCCACAAACTTCCAATCAATATCCTCCCTAAAGATGACAGCCCTCCATTTCTGATCAGCAATATGGTTATTGAAGTTCTTGAGGGACAGACCATCCTGATTCAGGGCTCCATGCTTCATGCTTCTGACATGGATTCCAGTGATGATTACATACTATTCAATATTACCAAGCCATCACAGGCTGGAGAAATCATGAAGAAACCAGGACCAAACATGATAGGTAATGAAACACATCCATAACAGCATGCTTTTCTTTGTCTCCTCCTTTTTTATTTACATTAAAAGTTACAATTAGACAAATTACTTTGGCTTAGGACAAATCATGGCAAACTTGTACTTCTTTCATTATAGTTTAAAAACACCATCATTAATTAATGTCAGCCTGTGCATGAGGATAACTGTACCTGTGTACATGTACACCTGTGCCACAATTCTTCCACTCTGAGTCTATTTTCCTACAGTATTTTTCTAGGCTAGTCAGGAGTTAGTTTACCTACAAGGATCCATGACAAATTCAGAGCTGATAGATGACGATAATGATGCTAAACTAGGAGAAAGCTCTCCCTCCATGTAACTGAACTCAGAAATTCCTGTGCTAGACTGCAGAGGCTGCTAGTCCTGCAAATTCTCTTCTGACTTCTGAACAAGGCTTTAGGCCTGTTGGCTGTGTTGCTTCATTTGTTGAGTCATCTCTAAGTGACGTAGAAAAGAAGCTGATGATCTTCAAAGAACGTGGAAGATAATGAGAGAACATTTCAAAGGACTCTCCCTAGTTATGTTTAAAAAGAGGACATTATGCTTCACCAGTCACTTGCACAGCTAATGGATAATTTTGATGTACTACTAAAATCATGCACTGTTCAATAGAAGATATATTCTTCAATTCTACAGGGTATTCTGTCAACAGTTTTCTTCAGAGGGATCTATTCAATGGAATAATTTATTATCATCATTTGGGAGGAGAAGTATTTGAAGATTCCCTTGAGTTTGTGCTATGTGACAGCCACGATCCTCCCAATCTCTCAGAGCCACAGGTATGAAACTGAAGCATCTTTGGCAGTCTGCTGCATTTTTCCTTCAAATGATGATCTGATGATCTTACATGTTCTGACAGGCTTTCAAATTGAACTGGTATAGATATTTGCAATTTGCCATCACCACGGTCATTACCACAAACACTGTTCTCCAGAGCTATTTCTTGTTCTTACTTTCCTTGGGGTAATTCTTTGCCTGGCGACAGAGAGACAAGTCCATTGCAAAGACTTTTTCCTACACTGCAAAGTGAAATGTTGAAAGCAATTTGTATTTGGAGACAGCAGAAACAAATTAAACACACCTCTTGAAGTCAAATGAGAATAGACTATTTATTTTACCCAAGAGTCCAACATACTGAATTCAACTTTGCATTTAATTTAGAGGGAAACCACTAAGATTCATAAGCTTTGCATTTAACTCTTGTATACTTCATTACTCATGTGTTCATGATATGGTATGACGGCCACATCCTGTATCTCATATTCCAGTGATCCACTTACTTCTGTGTACATGTTTGTAAACAGCTACTTGGACATTCTCTTATTGAGAGGAATGGCTAGTGATTTTACTGTCTTCCCAATTTCAGGTGTTGATGGTGCACGTTATTCCTGTGGATGATCAACTACCCAGACAAGCCCCAGACGTGACCCGTCACCTGGTTGTTAAGGAGACTGAGATTGCTCACTTAACTAAGAAACATCTCCACTTCATAGATGTGGAAGAGCAAGACAGGGAGCTCACATACACCATAACCACTTCCCCATTTTTCTCTTGCACCCATAGGTAGGTGCAACCTGATATAACTTTCAGGTGGGCCAGGGCAATGACCCATGTAAGAGGAGCAGCCTCAGTGGTAGTAACATGCTAGTGCCTCAGGTTCCTCATTTTTGCTAAAAGGGCAGGCGACAATAGCTGGTTGCAGCTCTCTTGTTGATGATTAAGGGTAAGCTAGAGCCTAAAACAACAGAGTAATACATAGTGTAATGAAAAACCCCAATGCATAGTTTAGCAAGAAATAAGAAGCAGGAAAGCATCTGAAATATTTTCTTTGTTGGATTTGCCTTTTACACTGTTGTGGGATCCTGTACAGCTTCAAGCACAAGTCACAGCACCTCTTCTGTTAGAATGAGGCTGACCTGTGCCTGCCCCAGACTAAGATGAGGTGCTACAGCTTTTTCAAGAATAAGTGTTATTACCATGGCATTGTGAAGGACTCCTGGTCCTGGACTAGGAAGCTGTGGAGCAGAATGGAGGCAGAACAGGTTCTGGGGGCAATTAGGGGTATGGGATGAATAGGTGTAGTAGGAGTTTATGTCAGTGATGCTGTAATTTCATCGCAGCGTTGGCAACAATTTGCTAAATGAAAAGTTTTAAATCCAGACATTGCATGGTTTAAGCTGAAGATCAACGCTTTCAATTTTGACCTCAAGCAACAGAGGATCAGTACATAGCTAGAGGAGAAGCACATTTAGTCTCTTCCCCTAGTCAGTCAAATAGCCATATAGTTATCCAGTTTGCTGGTCACTCCTGTTGGAAAGCCACGTTATTGGAATCTAGTTCATTTCAGAGTTTATGAGATGTAAGAAAACCAAAAATTATTTATTTTTCTGCTTAAAGATAAATGAAGGTGTGCAAGCAATAAGGATGTGATGGACTAGACTTTCAGGTGGTGTAAATGGTATCTGGGATGTGTAGAAACACACTTGTAGCAATCCCAGATCTTGCTCATAAAGTATGAGATGATTTTTCATGACCATCCTGAAAAATATTTCCTGTGGTCAGTTTTCTGTGATAATGTTTAAATGAATAACAAGGATAGAAGAAAGAAAAATGGTTTTCCTTTCAATGCAGTTGGGAGTGGGAAAGTAATTTGAAATTCAAGATTGAGCTAAGTGACTGTTTTTTTCTGTTCTTTGGTATTGCTGGCCAGTATGTGACATACGTATTTTTGTGTAGCTACTCAGATGCTGGGAAGCTGTTTATGGTGGACACTATCCCCAAATTGGTCAAGGATCCTGCTGCTCTTGCACTGCGGTCATTTACTCAGGTTTGTTATGTTATCTGGTATCATAAGCAGTTCTAAACAATGTAAAAAAGTTACAAGTGTTCAGCTTTTTTTTGACAGGAAAACAAGAGGTGGAAAATGAGCACTACTATCACGAGCTCTGCTTAAGAAGCTCAAAACTTTGTTATTTCAATACCAACTTTCAAAACAAATTTCTATCATGCTTCAGTCTTGCAATATGTAAACACAACTCTCCTAAAACCAATAGGGGTTGCAGTTGCTTAGGGTAGGCTGAATTTGGCTTCATCTGATGTAAGAGGAAGGAAAAAACCACAAAATTTGGAAATGAGACCTTGAACAATTTCCTGCTGCTTCTCAGTATCTCCACCAATAGATGTGGCACAGTATGGCCAGCTGGAACAGGTGCTTTTCAGGATTTTGTTGTTCAGTTTTCATGGTTTTGTAGTTTGACAAACAAGTATTACTAAAGTGCCCTGTTTTATATCCTGCTGTGTGGCTACAGTTGCATAATGGTGATCACTGCAGTACCATATCGAGAGCTCTGAGCCTACAAACCCTTAACTGTGTGCCTAATACGGGTGTCTGGGTGCAAGATTTTGATAACTATTTTAGCCTCTTTCACTAGCCTGCCCTCACTGAGGGACACAGGACATGCAGTTGCTATTCACACTGGTGAGGGCAAACTCAGCTGCTGGAGGAGATGTTAGCTTTTATGAATTGTTTATTTTAAAGTCACAGTTAGAAAAGGTCCTGGGACCAGTGCTTTTAAAGGGCTTCATCAAGAGGGTAAGGTTATCACCTCCGCTATCACTTATAAACCGTGTCTATATCTTTTGCTATAGGTCAAGTATTTGAACATGTAGTCACCTAATTTGTAGCTAAAGATGCATTTAATCAAGGTATTGCTGGTAGCAAAATAGTGCAAAATTTCAGGACTTAATTTTGACAGTTGAAATAACATCCAATCAGGGGATTAGAAAGGTCCTTAATGTCATGAATTATGGATATTCCCATTATCTACCCTTACATGCACCCCTCTTCTCTTTTTGCAGCATGCTGTGAACTATATGAAAGTTGCCTATATGCCACCACTGCAGGACATCGGTCCTGAACCTCAGCAAGTCCAGTTTATTTTTTCCGTCAGCAATCAGCATGGAGGTACTTTGTATGGGATCTGCTTCAATATTACAATTCTTCCTGTGGACAATCAAGCTCCAGAGGTAGGGTGGTGGTGAAAGGGACTGGGTGAAGGACTTGGGAATTGCTTCATGTTGAAACAGAAATATAGAGAGATATCCTGACTTGACTGAGATAAAAAAATAAATCTTCCATGGGATCAGGTTTTCAGTGTCTTGCACATGGCTTGCATTGGGATGGAAGTGGGAGGTGAAGTCTGATGAGTGTGCAGTGTGATATTTTGTCCTAAATAAACTGTGGACTACCTTTGGCATCTGTGTATCTGGTCAAAAACACGTATGTCACATCCTGGTTAGCAAAACCGCTTATTGCCTATGGAGGCCAGGAGCCTCCATGAATAGGATGAGAACTGGGAAAAACATATCATGGCCCTACGGGTAACCTCCTACGTTTTTCTAACACAGCAGAAAAGAATATTTGGCATTTTGGTTTTTAAGATGGCACACATCCTTATATAAGAGCAAATGGGAATTGCCCTGTTCAGTGTATGTTTGGAGGTGCAGTAGAAAAGAGAGCTCAACATTTCTCCTCCCTGCAGGTTTTGACAAGCCATTTGAGAGTGGAAGAGGGTGGCCTGGCCCCTGTTACAGAGGGACACATTCTCATCTCTGATGTGGACACAAAACAGGAGCATCTCCTCCTGCTCCTGCAGAGGCAGCCTCAGCATGGGGTGGTGGAGCTGGATGGCATTCCCATGAATGAAGGCAACAGGCTTTCCTGCGAGGACCTGCGTACCCTGGCAGTCAGGTTAGAAGAGTGGTGGCTGTCTTTTGTGTGGCTGAGTCTCAGTCGGATGAGCAAAAGCCTGCCAGTGAAGTGGTGCAAGGTGCAGAGGCTACAACCAGCAATGTTCACCATAGCACAGCTCTGGCAGAGCTGCTCCAGGCCAAGATTCCCTGAGACTGCAATGTCACCATGCAAACCGGCTGTTGTGTGGCCAGGAAACAGGAGTTAGCACCCATGCCTGATGTAGAGAGGTTTCTCTATAAAGCACTGGCCTATGTAGATAAGGAGGCAAATGTTATATTCAGCCATGCAGTTCCTGTGAAGAAGGCAATAGTTGCAAGCTTTTTTCTTTTAAAAAAGTTGTGTGTTTATTAAACTTGCGTAGTTTACAAGAAAACTTGTGTTAACACTGATTAAGCTGTAGATTAAAATTTTGTTTTTCTATTTGTGGCAAGACCAAGACATGATTTTCTGCATGCATGCAGAGTTAGAGTTCTCTGACTCTATTTCCATTTGTTAGTCAAAGTGGGCACTTACCACAGTGAGAACATAAATGTTTGGTAAACACCTCACAAGCAGCCAGGACATAGATGACAAAGCCACAGGGAAACCTTTTTCCCAACTGATGTATGGTTTACCTTGGGGCTTTTCTTCTTGTAAGAGACCCCAAAAGCCCTCTGGAGATACTCTGATCCAGAATCAGCAGTATTAGGGACACAGGCAGCAGTTTTTTATATACATTGTAGGGCATGACCAGAAAGCATAGCTTCTCTTTTTTTCTGTGAGAAATCTGTGTAGCTCTTTAATTTTTTTTCACAGATATCGTCATGATGGCTCTGAGACTCTCACTGATGATGTTCTCTTTGCAGCCACAGATGGCATCCACTTTGTTGAGTTCATCCTGCAGGTCAAGGTCAGTGCATTGCATGTTTCTGAAAGCAATTGTCTGTGTAGAGGCAAAGGCTTTAAATCTTGACTTCTGAAAGTCTTTGCATTCCCTTGGAAACTGGAAGATAATGGATGTGGTAAGCTTCTATTTCAACCCTAGCTTTCAGATTCATGTGGCAAATTTGAGAGGAACTTTGACTTGCACTAGTGTGAGAAATAGAAACCCAGTCGGGCAATTTCCAAGAATTTATTATATGATAAAAGCAAATTCAGCGCTGGGTGATCAGGGAAGGGGTTCAACAACTCCCAACACCTGTCACACCTAAAGAAGACATTTGTTCTACATTTATTTCCAGCTACTACATGAATATTCATTATACATAAGTATAAACATTACACATTGTTAGGTACATGAGTATAAACATTATACATTGTTAGGTCAGACATTCCACAGATATTTCTTAACAAGAATGTTATCTATAAGCATCCATAATATATTGTTAAATCAGACATTCAGCAGATGTTTGCTTGTTATCTATACAAACTTATAAATTTTAAGAAAGGTGCTATTATCTAGCTAACTAAACAAAATTCTCTCACTATAAATCCTACACAAGGTAAAAGGGAGGTAACTTGTTTTATCTCTTTATAGGGACCCAATTAAGTTTTACGATTTGTTTTTCTTTCTCTCCAGGTCATATTGACCTTACACTGTTTTCTCTTAATTAGCTTGAATTATTTTCTCAGTTTATCACAACTAGCTAAAAGACATTTGTTCTTACTCTAGCTTGGGTTATTCTATCTGGAATTACTCACTTTGTACTTAAACTATAATTATCTAGTTTGGTTTACTTTTGTCTTCTTATTTTTAATTCAGCTGGTTTCTTTGTGTTTACAGAGAAAGCTCAGTGTACTCTGACACTGACACCATACTGTTTGGGTGGCAAAGCAGTATGTTGAAACAACTGGCTTCCACTGAAGTGAAAAATAAAAAATTCTTAAATTGTTCTTCTGATTAGGTGCTGCCTGTGAATGATGAGCGACCTGTTATGCGAACAGGCCTTGTTCCTGTGCTCCACTGCCTGGAGGGTGAAGAAGTGGTCATCTCCTCAGAGTACATTTCTGCTACAGACGCAGACAGTGATGACATGAAACTGATGTTTATGCTGCCTCGCCAGCCCTACCACGGGGTAGTGAGGAAAGCTGGTATTGCTGTGGATCATTTCTCCCAAGCTGATGTCATCGCTGGTTTAGTCACGTACAAGCACACTAGTGAGTTAAGGACAGAACTACAGTGGAAGGTGGTCAGAGAGGCTCTAGCAAAAAAATCTTAACCTGAATCCATTCCTTTGCACAAGTTCAGCAGGAACTGCTGAAGAACCACATGTTGTGGCTAGGAAAAAAAGTAAACTGACTCCAGAAGAGAGTTGATGATAGACAACTACCAAATGTTCTCGAAATCCACATTTCAACTGAAAATTATATTAAAAAAAGTACATGAAAGCACCATAATCCTGGAGCATCTCTTTCACTGTTGCTAACAAAATGTCTTGGGCTTTTTTAAAAAAAATATTATTATGTTAGGTACAAACTAGAGTATTTTTATGTGTTTCATGACAGTAAAAAACCCTTTTGGTACTTCTTATTTGCCTCTCCAATCTAGAAGGATATCTACTTTTGGACAGTTCATAGTCTTTCTGCATCACAAGATAAATGAAGTTCTGATCTTCATGAGAAACACAGTGCTAAAAAGCTGTTATATTGTGGTTTTATTGTTAATACTTTTATTGTTAATACACAGAAATCAAGCTAACTTCCTTTCCTATTAATTTTATACTTTCATTAGCATTTTCTACATCTCTGATTAACAGCTTTATTTTTTTTCCAAGGGTGCTCGTTTTCTGTTGAATTATTCTGTAATTTTGTGTTAGCATGAAAGATAGATGTGATATTTTCAAGTTTGGCACTCTCTAAAATGAACAGCTGGTATTTGAGAAGGAAGTCTTGATTATGGCCACCCACAACAAATTTTTCTCCTGTGTCCTAAAGACACCAGGAACTGTATTTCAATGACAGTATTTTGCAGGGGCAATGAAGTTTTACCTTCAAGGGTGTAGTGCTTGCGTTTTTCATTCCCAAATTTCTACACATTAAATGTGCTGCTGGTAGATATCACAAGAGAGTGTGGGAGTCACTGCCTTTCCTTTGCAGGCAGCTTATTAGTAATATCTTGCAGCAATGCAAGACAGAGGCTGCCAGAAGTGCTGAGAGCCGGAAAACTCTGAGTCACAGAGTTTTCTTGCAAGGGGGGGCAGTTCCCAGTTGTGTATCAGCCCACATTTTGAATGTCATTACACATAGACATAATACACAGTTCAGTAACAAAGCACAGCCCTTGTTGTAGTCCATTTTGCAGGGATTAGAGGCACACAGGAATACATACACTACTTGGTATACAAAAAAGTTTTCTTCTGGAAGAATATGGGTATTACCATTTGTCATAGAGAGAGCATGCATATAAAAGAAAGATTTTCCTACATTCTTCAAGAAGAAATGCAGAAAAGGTTCTTTTTCTGCACAATGTATATTTTGCACATGCCTTAGAGCACAAAGAACATAATCATGAGAACTATTAACCTTTTTACAGTAATGAAATATCGTAACATTGTAATAATAAATTTATAACTATTTGTAATAATAATAATACTTATTCTCTTTTCTACACTGTCTTACTTTAGAATAGAAGTGAGCTGGTTAAAATTAATTACAAACAACAAACCAAATCCCTAAACAAACAGCACCCCCACCAGGCAGAATTAAGAATTCCTGTAATTTTGCTCTTGCTTTCTTTTTTCTTCTGACTTTGAATACTGAAGACTGTCCTTTCAGGATAAAGATTATTCTTCATGAACTTTCAGTAAAACATTTCTTCTAAACCTCAGTATTTTTTTTCAGGTGGGGAGATCGGCCTGACTCCTTCCATTGAGATCTTAACCTTCATTGTCTCTGATGGTGAGGCTGGCCTAGATGTGAAAGACTGCTGTTATGATGGACCTCTTCCTCCTCCAGTTTCACCTCATGATCCATTTCCTGTGTATGACCTTAACATCACTGTACTTCCAGTGGACAACCAGCCTCCATCTATTGCAACTGGTGAAAGCTTCCTCTCACTATGGCATTATAAAGTGGGCTATGCAGTACTGTAATGGCTAAAGACTCAGGGTAGTTTTTTGTTCTTTGCTTTTTAGCATTAGAGAGAGTCAGTTGAGATCAACATATAAAAGTTTTGGATCAGAATTTTTTCCATCTTTTTTTTTTCTTTTGCCTAGTGCAGTGCAACCACCCAGTCCAACTGCCAGTGTGAGTATGAGTGACTGCTCGTTGCTCTTCAGCCGTATATTTAAGTCATGTAGTTAGAGATGGGAGTGCTCGGATCTGCTCCCCTCCATCTCTCCATGCCCACTGCTGCATATATAAGCTATGCCTAGGTAAAAGTGATCAATATTTTGTCCATGAACTGAGTTCAGGGTCCAGCAACTGTCAGGCTTTTACAGTGCAAAAGCATAAACATAAATATCTATCTACCTTTGCATGTAAAGTATATAAAAGAAATTTGGGCCTTATATGAAGGGAGAGAATCATTATTACCTATATTACCTATATTTAATTCTTTTAGTGAATAAAGACAAAGATAGGCTGTATATTGATAGACGTGAAGCTACATTATCACTAGGAGTCTTCAGAATAGAAAAAAACCAGTTAAAATGGAAATAGAGTTGATAATGTACATTTAGTCCAACAACAGCCCCTTGTGTGAAATCTCCATTGATTTCCTGGGCTTTTTATGAGGTCTCTGGTATACATATTAAAGGTATGTTTGCCATATGTTTGTGTTTTTCAATGTCATTTGTTTGTAAGCATATATTGTAAGGTATATATTCATGAGCGTATATTTGTAAGGTATATATTATGTATCTCAGAGAATATTTAAGCATATCTATAAGTAGTTTTGTAACTTGCGGGCTCTCACCCAAGTAGTGTTCTGGAAATGAAGCATTGTCCCAGCAGGGAAATTATCAGTGATGCATGAAAAATTGTTCATTATGAGCAATTCTTAGCAGGTCTCATGAAATTAATGCTCTGACAAACAGAGGTAACTGCTGATTTTGAACAGTATATAAACCATACCTATTAACTTACCAGTAAAATAATTTCATGATCCTCTTCTTCTCTACTTCTGTGATAGCAAGAACAGAGTTGTCAGCGAAAGCAGAGAAAAAGATTCTAAACCAAAACCCTCCAGTAACTAAGCATTTGTTGTATGTCCCCCCTTAGTTATTATTTCCACTCTTGTTAACAAAAACAACAGTGAAATGAGCTAAATAAGCAATAATGAGTATCATATTGTTTGTGTGCAGGTGCAAGTTTTGTGGTGGAGGAGGGCTCCTCCGCAGCCCTTACAGCCAACCACTTGTTTGCCACTGACCCTGACACCACTGCAGATGACTTAGAGTTTGTGTTGGTTTCTCCCCCCCAGTTTGGTTACATTGAAAATATACTGCCTTCTCCTGGGTTTGAGAAGAGCAACATTGGAATAAGTATAGGTAAGTCTTAACAATTTGTGGTAATCAAGCCGGTGGAGGGCTGTGCTGTGGGCTCTGGTGGTGCAGCTGCAGGTGTGGGCATTAATATGGGTTTATTTAGGGAAGCAGGTGCTGGCAAACGAAGAGCAGTGGGACTGTGTGGGTGGAGTTCAAAGGGAGACTGCAGCCCTGCAAATGTGAAAAATTGGCTCTTGAAATAAACAAGCCAAGCCTTGTTTTATGCATTCCAGCTGCAGTCTATTAGAAGTGGCAATATAGGACATTAATCTGCTCTTCCTGCCTCTCACTTCACTCCTCCATGAAAAACTCCCACATGTCCCTTCACCAATACATTTGTCATTTAAGTGTAGTAAACCAGGTCTCATATGGGTTTCCAAGGCAAAGTTACAAAGACGATAGAGACGGTGGTTGACTTGGGTCTCTTCCCTTGTCCGCTTTCAAACATCGTTTCACCATCAGCAGAATGGATTGTGTCATGCTTTGTAATGCTACCAGCTTTTACCAGTTTCTTGAGCTGGAAACCTGTAATCACTGAGCCTTTTATCCCCATTTTTCTCATCTGTCGGTCAAAAAACAGTGTAATGAGAATCATACAATCACGGAGTCATTTAGCTTGGAAAAGACCATCAGGTCCAACCATTAACCTAGCACTGCCAAGGAATCATGGACCTTAGACCTTTTCCTACTTGTTATTTTGAATTGTTTTTATGTGGCTCGGTTTTTCAGATGAAACTGAGAAGTATGAATATGCACAGTCCCACCAGAAGCAGAATGATGTATTTTTGTTTTGGGGAGAGGCATGTGTCCGGCAGTGTAACTAACTCTTAGAGCCAAAAAACGACTGAGAACTTATCCAAGCTATTTATTCTTTGAAAAAGGACAGTTTCAAAGTTTTTTTATGATATACATGACTAGAGGGCAGGAAAAGATTGTGCTAAATCTTTTTCTTTTTAAAATCTCTAGCTTCGTTTCAGCTGAAGCACCTGAAAGCCATGAATATAAACTATGTACAAGCCAGGCATATGCGAATGGAGCCAACAGAGGACAAGTTTGTACTTTATGTCACTGATGGGTTGCATCGCTCAGCAGAGACTCCATTTTTTGTGCTGATCACCCCAACCAATGACGAAGTCCCAGAATTCATAGCCAGGAATATTACTGTAAGGAAATAAGCAAAATGCCTGTCATAGAATTATTTTAAACAGAGAAGACTCTTTAATATCAAAAAGAACATTGTTCTGACTCCTGTTCCTCTGCAACTTTCCCCTTCTTTGTGTAGTCAGCCTAGTTCAGGAAACAGCCCAGTTAAATCCTATGTAAACCTGCTAGACAGAGCTTCAGTGGGATTGAAGCAGTTCATAGCTCTTTCCGAAAATCTGCAGTTAAGTAAAAGAAAAGGTTCAAATCTTTAAACAAATAAGTCATCTAGAAAACAGAAATATCTTTATGCTTCTTATGGTTTCTCAAGAGCTTTTACAATTTTTTTACAGAGTATTTTTTTGTTCCTGGCATAGCTTTTCTCCTCTCTGAAGACTGTTTTTCATATAAATCACTCTGTGAGCACCATTCTAGGGCAGTGTTAGTTAATCTTACTGTAAAGTAAAAAGTGCATGTATATGTATAAATTTACATGCATCTGTATTTTTAGATACATTTATGTATTTAAAGGCTTTCTCCTTTGTGCATTTCTGAGCACTTGATTTGACACTGACTTATCTAACATCTTTTTGTTTAATTGGGGCATATATGAACTCATCTCAAATTCTCTTTTCATCACTGTAGCCATTTACTTCTTTATGTCTCTTAAACTGGTTGAAATCAGTAGCCAGGTCAAAAAGCTACTGGGAAAGGGGTGGAGGAAACAAAGAGATACATTTGCCCCTACGTAGGAAACCATGATGAAATTCTATTATTTCCTTTTATGTAAAAGGATTGGATATTTTTTCTTTCACGTTCAGGTTCAAGAAGGGGAGATGAAAGAGCTGGATCTCTCGGTTATCAATGCGGTTGACCTGGATGTACCTCAAGACCATTTGGTATTTAGGGTTGTGCAGAGGCCCTGGTACGGATTCCTTATTAATGGAATCTATGGCAATGATATTCTACACTATAAACAGTTAATTAACCACAATCACCACAGCCATGGGTTGCTTGTTCATGACTTTTCCATGGAGCTACTGAAGAATGGTAGGTGCAGCATTCTTCTGACATTGGTCTTTTATTTCTTTAATGAGGCAAGTGGCACACTAAGAAACTTTCATCACTTATTTATGCACTTGCCTTATGTATTTTCCAGACAGTGTTTGGTAATGGAAGTTGACATATTTAATGCTGTTGTTGTCTATTTTTTCTAGGATCTATCAATAAAATCATCCTGAGAGACCTATGTGTCAGAAAGGATAGTAATATGCCTTGGAAAAAAAAAGGGAATAATGTAACATATCATTAAGCAGATTTCTAAATGTTTGACAGCACCTAAAACAGAGACAGCAAACAGAGACACATTAACTGATCTTGGGTTTAAGTATTTCTCTAAGTGATCACAGAATTGTAGAATCATTGAACAGTTTGGGTTGGAAGGGACCTTTAAGGAGCACCTAGTCCACATACCCTGCCATCTTCCACTAGACCAAGATGCCCAAAGCCCTGTTCACCATGACTTTGAACACTTCCAGGGACATGGCCTCCACAACTAATCTAGACAAACTGTTCCAGTGTCTCACCACCCTTATTTTGAATCCTTTTTTTCTGATGTCCAACCTAATCCTACCTCCTTTCAGTTTAAAACTCATGCCCCTTGTGTCACTACAGGCATTGGTAAAAAATCTTTCCTATAAGCCTCCTTTAGATATTGAAAGGCTGTGATATACCTCCATATGTCTAACAATAAAGGTGTGAACTGGAGGTCTATAGCTTAGCATGATCAGTCAACCTGCTTTGAAGCCGCAAATCCCTTTCTAGTACATGTAATCAAAAAATCTATTTAACACTGCCAAGAATATAATAGATTCTTCACTAAATAGACTGTGGCTATTTAGTGAAATGTGGAATCTATCAATAAAAAGTAAGACATGAACTCAATACTGCCACTCAAATTTCAGTTCAACCCTCAAAAAAACGAGGATTTTTTTGTCTCTCTGCCTGTCTAATATGAACATTGAGAAATATCAAGTGTCCACCCCAAATTCCTCAGCCTTCCCAAGTCCTGTTTTTGACTCTCTTCCTTGGCTGTTCTCTCCCTTTTGCTGTCCACAACGGTGAACAAGCCACCTCCAGCTCAGAACTTCTGAGTGTACATGGTCATAGACACAAGGCCAGCTGTCCTTCCCAATGCTTCCTTAAAGCTTCCTGAGGATTATTTAGAGCACAGAAAAGTGTTGCCTGACAATCTCACTCTCTCTATAGTCAAAGTTATTTGGAATGTGGAGAAGAGAAGAATGTGCCTTTTTCAGATTGACTGAGACCTCTTTTGGAAGAGAGTCACTTCTTACTTAGGTCAGACTGGTGACTTTGACTCAATAGTATGTTGTTAGATTAATTAACAGCAGTGGCTTACCAAACTTCTGGTAGCTGAAAGCAAGTTTACGTTGACCAGGGCATAGGGGAGGGAGATAGAAGAGTGATAGAAGCAGAGTGAAATGATGTGACATATTTTGCAGGAGTTAGATTTAGTTTTATTTTCTATTTCTCTCTCTCTCTCTCTCTCTCTCTCTCTCTCTCTCTCTCTCTCTCTCTCTCTGTGTGTGTGTCTCTCCCTCGCTTTCTCTCTTCTTTTTCTCCCCCTTCCCAACCCATATAGGAATGAAGCTGATGTACATGCATGACAACTCTGAAAACCTCACTGACAGCTTTAAAATCCAGCTATCAGATGGAAAACATAAAGTCCTCAGAACCATTTCAGTAAAGGTCATTCCAGTTAATGATGAGAAACCACTGCTGAGCAAGTAAGTCACACGTTCCTGTCTCTGACAGAGGAATATGTTCAGACAAAATGATGGAAAAGTGATCAAAACAGCAAATCACAGAATCCTTAAGGTCAGAATAGACCTTTAAGATCACCAAGTCCAACTGCTAACTAGTACCCTACCATGTTCACCATCAAACCATGTCCCCAGTGACTGATTGCGAGAAGAAGCCATAACTAGTCACAGACTGATGCCAATCTAGGTCTTTATCAGCCTGTTTAAAAAAAAAAAAAATTAATGAAAGAATAGCATGCTTTAATGTTGATCAGTATTAAATGGAGTGGAAAAAAAAGAAAAAGGAGTGTTGGTGGGGGAACATGCTTGTTGCATCTTTCACAAGTTGCTTCAAAACATTTGCCAGACACCCCTGATCTTCATGCACCTCTGCTGAACCTTGACCACCATAGTACTGTATTCCCTTTCCCTGAGACAAACACCTTCCTAAAATGCCTCTCTGAAAGCAACTCTGGATTTTGGCATGAGAGAATCCACAAAGTTGATGCATGGGAAAGGCTTTCAGATGAATGATTCTCTTCTTCTATATATTCTAAAGCTCAACCATAATTCAACTTGTGGAAAGGTACACACTAACTTCCCTTATGCTTCAAAACTAAGGGTCATAAATGAATTAGACATGATCAGGAATTGCCTGGCAGATCATTTGTAGACAGGCAGCTGGCTTCAAGAGAGCCAAACCTCCTGGACATTTTAAAAAGGAGTTCATCTCTTGGGATCCCCATTTTTTTAACTGATAACTTGTCACAGAGCATCAGGGCCTCCATCCTTGTGACTGTTTTCCAGCCCCAGACAGGCAGATGGGAAGCTTAGAGCCCAAAGGTGTCAGGGGTATAGGTCTGAACCTCTGATGTTTGCATTTCAGAAACAACTTGCAACCTGTTAAGCAGGCTGCCACTAAAGCAGAAATTTTTGATCCCTCAGAATATTTGGCCTATTTTCAGATCAGACTTATATTTCCCATTGAAAAGAATTTTTTATGTTTTGTTTACCATGTAGAGCTTCCTGCAATAACAAATGTTAGTTTTTTAGTTGAAAGATTATCAGTGACCACATAATGCTAACAAGAGAACATCCATTTTTTTGTTAGAATAAAGCGTACAGTTTATGTATTCATATATGGTGTACTGATAATTACTGACAATTGTCTATTTGTTCCTCACGTGCTATAGATTGATGTCATTTTCCACCCTTTCTCTCTGAAAGAAGATGATGAATGCAAGAAGTCCAGTGATTTTAGCTTTGCCCAGCTAGATCCAGAAACTGTTGCTGCCTTGTCTGGCGATGTTAGGTCTCACCATTTGCCATTTCTATGGTGAACAGTAGCACAGAGTGAGCCATCTACTCGCAAAATAGCTATTTCTTTATGAAGTTACTGCCTCTTGCCTGTTACTCTTCCACTGAGATGAGGTATGCTGCCAGTAGTTAAGCAGTAAGTGCTTTAAGGAAACATTCAGTTTGGCACTGAAGTGGTTTAGCTGCCGCATTCGGTCACCACATCTTTACTGTGGGGTGCAAACTTCCTTAAGCTACTGCAGTGTTTTCTAGGTGACCATTTGACAATACCTGTAAGCTTTTTCTCACCTTTTGATCTGGGAGCCCTTTCTACCTCAGGGATTTTCAGTTCTCATCTCCATTAGTTACAGACTGAAGAACTTGGGATGGGATGTTTTTGGCTGGCAAACAGTGCCTCTTATTCACAGTGATTGCCAGACGCTCAATTTGTCACCTCTTGGCTTGCATCCTAAAGCAGGGAGTGCCCTTGGGGAATGTAAAGCTTTCACACATTCCCTTGAGAACTTCTTCTCGAGATGAGAAGAAGCCAGTTAGACCTTTATTGTGTCTCTTATAAGTAAAGGTGAACAGTGAAATACTAGTTATTTGAAAGACAGTCTTTTCCCTAGTGAACATTAGAGCCAATATTGCTGTGGTCTGTAGTAGCAGTACTGTATAAAGCAGCCTATTTGTTTACATTGTCCTCTTCTTACAAATTATATGATGGCAAACAGAAGGGGAATAAGACAGACGTAGTAAATCCCAGTTTGTTGTAAGTGTCTGCTTTGCTGTTTTTCACCATTGTAAGGAGAAGCTTGCCTACACTGTTTTTTTTTTCTCTTTTGAGCTGAAATAGGCACAATATTCTTTCTGCAGTTGTCATTTCTGTCAGCATCTGGGTAATCCATATTCCTGGCAGAGAAATCACATGTTGAAAAGGTTCCTTTTATTGCATCAATGCATGACTTTTATTTTTTGCAGGAAGAATGATATAGAGGTGAATATAGGTGAAACTCGAATAATTTCTAGTGCTGTTCTGTCAGCAGAAGATAAAGATACCCCCAGGGAGAGAATTTACTACTTATTTGAAAGACTTCCAGAAAATGGTCAGCTTCAGCTCAAGGTTAGTCTTTGTACTTCAACAAAAAGCAGGCATGCAAAGAACTCTTTCTTTTTAGGCTAGAATGAAGTTCATCTTCCTTTTCTCCCAAATGTCTGTCATATTTTGATGTAGACAGCTGTGGCCAGTTTGACTGTTGAAGGAACATTTAAATCAAAGAATGATGCTGTCCCAGAGGCTTTGACACTAAAAGCCCAGATCTTCAACAGGAGGAGAGTGAAAAGCATGGTAGATCATCTGAGGTGACAGTGGAGAGAGATGCTGGGATAATCAGCCCACTAAGGGGAAAATCAAGCATCAAAGCTGGGAGAGGGCAGGGGGGAAAGTCCTTGATAAAAACCAAATCAAAATAAACCTTTACTTCAGCGTTCAGAAAGCACAGAGGGAGTTGTATGTGGAAGAGTAAGTAATAACTCATGAGTTAGAGTATGAGAGGAAGGAAGGCTAAAAGAAGATGGAAAGGGTATAGCAAGAGGAAAGGCAAAAAATAAGATTAGAAATGGAAGGAGAGATGATCATCTATTGACCAAAGACAAGCCAGAGGAACCAAGATAGAAAAAAATGCCTCTTTTAAATTGCATGCATATATAAAAGAAAAAAAATCCACTTCTAAAACCCCTGACCTTGGAAAGTATTTTGATGCTGGATCCCTACATGGGTCTGTGGATCACACAAGACTTGTGAATTAAAAGGGTCCCATATACTGAGGCGAGAGGCAGCTACTAACTGGAGTCTGTCAATTTGAACATGTAGGGTACACGCATATATCTAAGCTCTCTGTCCTTGATAACCTTTGCTCCAAAGCTAGTAATGCTGTTCCTGCAGACTAAATGTCAACACGTGGATCAGTCCAACTTAGGGTATGACACTTTTTCCAGAAAAGCAGGAAATTTTATAGGATAGTTAATTTTTTTTGCAGCTGAGAACCTCTGGGGTGCTAAACTTCTGCGCTTCCCTGAAGTTCCCCATAGGTTCATTTCTGACATCCTTTCAGGGATGATTTTGGGTAGAACCAAGAGCAGCTTTGTGAAATTAAGAAATAGAAAACATAAGCTGAGTCAGGGACCATTTCATTTTCATCTTGTTGGTGTATTAATGAGAAGTGTACAGGAATTTATTTCCTGTAGTAGAAGTGCCTAAACTCCGTATTACTCTGTTTTATTAATGATCGCTGTATTTTCTCCAGCCTTATAGCTGCTTGGAAACAACTCCAGCTATTTGCTGCCCTTCAAAACATACTATGAGGAAAAAGTCTATAGCTTGGAAGTGAAGCCAAGTAGCTGCCACTAACAGTCTACATAACTAAAAAGAAACACAATTAACTGGGGAGGATGCCTGGGAAACTATCTATTTAATGAAGGATGTTTATTCTTTCCAGGTAGGACAAGGCTGGGTGACTCTCCGAACTGGAATGACATGCACTCAGGAAGAGCTGGATATGAACCTTGTGAGATATGTCCATACAGGAGCTGTAGGGTCCAAGAACCAAGACAGCTTCACGTTTTACCTCTGGGATGGGTACAACAGATCCCCAGCTGTGGACTTCTACATAAATGTCAAGGACATGGAAAAGGGTAAAGATCTACCAGAGTTTTACAGCACCTGTTTCTGAAACAAAGATATTTGAGTACGTGTTCTGATCCTTTCCTGAGCACTATATAGGCCCCTGGCAAGTCTCTCTGCAGATCTTGTAAGTCTGACTGCTTGAATTTCACTGTGGGCCAGAGCCTTGATGTTCCTGCTGGTGAAGAAGTGGTCCTGGGATTTGAAAAGGCACTGCTGATGGCAACGTGTTGCACCTTGCCTCCCAGGACTCCCAGCTACTTTTGAAATTGAGCTGAAAATACCCTTTAGAAAATAGCTTTATGTCTGAGTAAATCAAAGCAAAGAAAAATGGCAAGAACGTAAAAGGGTAGGCAAAAGACTGTTCGGAAACAGCTCTGTCTCCTAGACAGATAGACACAGCTCTGTCTTCTTCTCTCTCTTTAGTCTACAGTCTTATGATCTCTCTTCTTTTATCGCGTCCCTATTAGAAAGCTAAAGGTTAACCTGACATTGCTAAGACTGAAAGAATAGTCAAAAGAAGTTGTGCTCTCTTCATCCTTGGCAGTTTTCAATGGGATAAAGCCCCAAGCAATGTGGTTATGGCTGGTCTCACAGCTGACCCTGCTTTGAGCAGAAGGTTGGACTAAAGACATCTTTAAGTCCCTTTCAGGCTGAATTTCTCTATAATCCTACAGTCCTGCGATTTTTCTACTGGCGATGGCTTGCCTGTGGCTAAATAATGCACAAGAGATCAACAAGTTCATTATGACAATTTTAGTGTTGCTTTGTCTATCCTGCAGGAGACATTGCAGTTTTTATGAAACTCCTCAGAGTGCCAAAAGGAGATCATGGCTACATCACAACCAATGTCCTCCTTGCACTGGACGGGACTGACAAGCCGGAGGAGCTCCTTTATGTGATAACCTCCCCACCCCAATATGGACAAATAGAATATATCAGCTATCCTGGCATCCCCATTACAAACTTCAGTCAAATGGATGTAGCACGACAGATTGTCTGCTACGTTCACAGCACAAAGGCAGCTGTTCTTGAAGATACATTCAGGTAAGGTATATGACCCCATCCCCCAAACTCTTCCCCTTGAATTTTTGGGAGTATTTAAAAATTTTGCACAAAACAAACAAAAAAAACCCCAAACCAAATTATTAAAAAGAGCTGGAATATCTATGTGAATTGTCAATATTTATATAGCAAATATATTGCTTATACAATACGTTATAGTTGTGACTGCTTCGGTAAAATATGCATTTTGTCATTAATGCTGAAAACATAGCCAGAGTAATATTTACTCAATTATACTAGCTTCAACATTATTATAGCATTCAGGCTACACAGCTGTCAAGATTTAAGTGGGAAAGAAAGACTAAGAATGTACTTTGTGGAATTTTCCTTTGGTTTCTTGCCACAGCTGGATGCTGTAAAACTGATCCATTCAGGTATTAAACAACAGCTTCCTTGTCTATTCTTATTTATCATATTCATTAAGTTCTGGGCTTTTTGAATTCATAAGTAGTTCTTGAACATAATGAAAACCAGTCCTCCTAATCTATTTTGACACCACAATAGCTCAGAAATTCATGTAGACACTTGAATTCTTGGGGTAAACCCATTAGGTTTACCTATAGGCCCAGTTGAGCAACCTATGATATTCAAGTTTATTTTCATCTGGTTCTGAAACCTTTCTCTGAGAACAGTTTATTCTAGATGCATTCCTAAAGTATTTCCTTATTTTGTTCTTAAATTAAGCTCCCTTGCTTATAAAGTGGAATGATGTAATGAGTTATCATCACATAAAGAGTAGATGTATTGCTGCTCAAAGTCTTGCAGACAGCTTTGTAAAAGAGATCAATTTCAGGGTAAAGAAAAGCTCAGAAATAAGGATAATATTTCTAAAGGAAGAATGCTTCTTGCTAGCATTGGTAATTTCCTCTGAAAACATCTTTTGACAGAAAATAGACTTACTGTAAATTTCAAAATTAAGAGTTTATTGTTTTTCATTTGTAACTAAGCAAAATGAAAGACTTAGCTCCTAAGAGCTGCAATTCAGAAAAGACCCTTTTTTTACACACTCTTATTAATGGATTCCTGATCTGAATGGCTTTTTCTGTGATACACAATGAAGATTCAAAAACGTTGCATCATCCAGTTAGAGAGCTTTTTTGCAAGGAAGTCAAGCAAGAGGGGCCTGGAGACATCAAATAAACCTCCCTGTGATACTGGGACAGCTCAAGTGACATTATCTATACTTAAAGAAAAAGTAAATTTGAAACTTTTCTCAAATCAAACATTTAAAACTATCCCTTCCACTAAATTCAATGTGGTAGAAATTCTAGTTAGGAGATTTGTCTGATCCACTTGTACTCACAGCAGAAAAAGTGAACAATTTTTCCCAGGTTTTATGTTTCTTGATTGTGAAACACTTTGACCAAAACTAGAATCAGCTTAGGCAAGTCAGGTCGCAGTCATGCCAATCCTAGTTTGGGCAGCGTAGTGGTGGCTTGTGTGGCTTGTTTCGGTATGACTTCCATATCACACTAATGGAAGCAGATCAAAAAACTCTAGGAATGTGGATAAACCCAATGTTTAGGCCAATCACTAAGAGCCAAACTAGAAAGTTAGCCTTATAAAAGTAATGTTATGATGTTTTAATAAATATTGATATCTGATAACTATTGATATTTTATAACTATTTTAATCACAATAATTATGTTCCTTGATGTTATCATTTGGAAAGACATTTGGTTTTGTGTAGACATAGAAATATTATGGCAGAATATTATTATTATTATTATTATTATTATTATTATTATTATTATTATTTCAACACGGAATAGTTACATTAATTATATGGGTAATTATGGCAGGAGGAGGAATTAAGTGACCAGATTTTTACTTCCCACTAAAGTGCTTACTTCAGACATAAATTTACCTGTATTGTTTGGTGCTGCTGGCCTGGAAGAAAGATTTGGCAGTGCTTGTTTGGACAGATGACTTCAAGTGATTAGCAATCTGACATCAGATGCTGGCAGCAGGATACTAAAAGAACATGCTAATGTTCTCCGTTTTGACATGCTGGCTCGATTTTGTAATGAGTTGGCACTATTTATGATTCCATTTTTATCTTTTAAATGCCATGACAGATGGTAGGTCCTCTAGCCAACTCCATTGCCATCAAACTGCAGAAAGCATGAAATGTTGGTAGGGGTGAAATCAAACCATGCAACATGTCCTCCAAACTGGGCCTGGGAGTTGTCCCCTAAATTTCATCAGAATGAGGAGAATACTGGCTGCTCTCCATTTCTGAGGAAATAATGAAGCAGACATAAACCAGAAATAAACAACCAATATCTCCCAAAGTGCAGAAAAAGGTCATCTTGGGCACCGGCAGTTTCATCATCTATGAAACTGAATGGTGAATGAAATTTGCATTGTAAATTTCAGTCTGATGTATATAACTAGGAGGTTTGTTCCTATCTGGTATTCTGTAGAAGACTGGATGAATCTTCAGTTATGTGAACTTATCTAAATCTTTCACTTAAATATTTTTGAGACATCATCCAAATTACTTTACAGCCATCAAAAGAATGAGAGGAACTGACTTCTGCTTCAATCTTTCAGAATTTTTGAGAGAAGATTTAAGGTATTGACTAAAGGTGTTTTACCCTTTTTTCCCCCTTAGCATAGTATTTATCATCATTATTCTAGTTTTGTATTTGATTTCAGATAGCTTACTAATAGCAGAACCCCTTTCCCATTGCCACAATAGCATTAGGTCAGTGCAGACAGATGTCTCTAGGTTCCCAGCTGGGAATACCATCCTCAGTAAACATATTTCTAACTGCTATATAGTCCCTGGTCTGCCTATACTCATTCCCATCTGTTTCATGGCACACTGCCAGTTGACAAGTTGATCAAGCCCTAATCATCCAGCATTGGTGAAGGCAGTGAGGAGTTTTAGATGGACGGTCTGTGTAACACAGTAAGCTTCATCATGACCTACTGAAAGCCACTCACATTTGAGGCACGAAACAGGTGTTGACCCTGTAATTTTTTTAAATACATCTTCAAGGTCTGCAGTCAAGAGAACAAGAGGAAACAGATAATCTACCTAAATGTTAGCCAGTCTCCATTTCACTTATGTATGGTAGAAGAGGGCTAGGTGGAAAGAAGCCAGCCAGGCTGGCCCTCATACAGTCTGAAACAACTGTCCCACTCTACCACAAGCAAATTTCTTTGCAAAGCAGTCTCCATTTTGGATCAGGCAGAACACAAACCTGTGTGAAAACCACTTTCCAAAATGGTTTTGCATGTACTGTGCAGCATAATCACTGAAATTTATGTAGAAAGACAGGTAACTCATGCATACTGTTTGTTGATGGAACATGTAGGATCGTGAGATATTTGCAAAGCCATTTTTAGTTTCAAATACACTCAAAAGTTTTTGTTATAGGCATGACAATGTTCCGTGTAATTCGTTTCAGAAAAAATACTTAATTAATGGTCTTGACAATGAAATCTATGATGAATTTTGAAGGCTAAAAGACTGGTTTTCTCCTTATTTTTATCCACCACTAAATTTGATAATAAATTTCTGCAGACCATACTGTCAGTTGTATGACAAAAGCCCATACCCAGCTGGTAGGCTTCTGTCGTGGTTTAATCCCAGCCGGCAACAAAGCCCCATGCAGCTGCTTGCTCACTACCTGCCTGATAGGATGGAGGAGAGAATTGGAAGAATGAAAGTGAGAAAACTCCTGGGTTGAGATAAAGGCTGTTTAATAAGTAAAGTGAAAGCTGCACTCACAAGCAAAACAAACCAAGGAATTCATTCACTTCCCATGAGCAGGCAGGTGTTCAGCCACCCCCAGGAAAGCAAGAGTTCCATCATGCATAACAATGACTTGGGAAGACAAATGCCACCACTCCAAATGTCTCCTCATTCCTTCTTCTTCCCTCAGCTCTATACACTAAGCAAGACACCATATGGTCTGAGGATATCCTTTGGGTCAGTTGAGGTCAGCTGTCCTGGCTGTGTCCCCTCCCAACTGCTTGTGTACCCCCAGCCTACTCACTGGTAGGGCAGTGTGAGGGGCAGAAAAGACCTTGAGGCTGTGTAAGCGCTGCTCATCAGTAACAAAACCAAAATATCCTTACGTTATCAACACTATTTCCAGCACAAAACCAAACCACAGCCCTATACTAGTGACTATGAAGAAAATTAACCAGCGCAGCTTCCAACAGATTTTCTCTCCAGCCTTTGACACCTTTATCTTTTCTTTTCTTTTTGAAAGGGGATCTAACTGTAGAGCATAATCAAATCTTTAGTATATCTAAAGAAACATTACTTCTTGACAGAAACAAGAAACTGTTGATATTAATAGAAATTCCCAGCACAGAACCAGAATTTTGCAGATATGACCATTTGATAAATATATGGTATAGGTATTTTTAAAACTACCCTGGCAACTTGTACTGTTCTGCCCAATACCTTAGTATTTTAGTGAAACCTTACTTGAGTTTTGTAAAGAAATATAAATAGTTCCTCTGAATATACAGAAATTTACAGATGCGGTTAGTGCCTAAACAAACCTGTAAAGCGGGATGAGGATGAATCTTTCTCCAGCTTGGTTTTTCAAATAATTTTGGGCTACTGGGTGGAAAAGATTTGTAACAGTGATCAGAAAAAAAACCCAAAAACCTAAACAAACCAAAAATAGACCCTTGCCCAGGCAGATCTTACACTTTACAAACCTATTTCTATATGTTGTAAACAAAGCCAACACTTTCACTGGCAGGTGCTACTGCCAGGTAACCAAGTGGAGATACATTTAAGGATATGTACAATGTATTTATGCCAGAGGCTACAATAAGTCAGCCAGCCCATCATTTTAGTTCTGCTCCATCTGTATCTGAGCTAGAAGATTAGATCAGCTCTGTTATGACTGTTTATCCTCAAAGACATTCCTCTGGCAAGTACTGAGGTGCATTATAACTCTTGTCAAATATCTGGCCATCTACTTTTACTTTTTAAAGTAAACCCATCCACTGTCTGGGTTTGAGCTCAGTCCAGCTCTACTACTTTTGCAGTATCAACACAGGCGAGTCCTGTAGTAAAGGTCTGCATTATCATTTCATTTCAGTACATGGTGAATCAAGAACAGACGCTGAAGACTATCTTGCCTCTCTTTGCCAGATTCACCATCAGCAATGGACTGAGGACTAAGAATGGGACATTCATAATCTCCTTGGAGGCACTTGACCAAGCTTTGCCCACACTATCTAGGAACATGGGGTTAAAAACAATGGAAGGCGCTATGGCACTTCTCTCTCCTGATGTCCTGCAGCTTTCAGACCCAGACACTGCCAAAGAAAACCTTACCTTCCTCTTGGCTCAGCTCCCCCAATATGGTCACCTCTATTACCGTGGGGCTGTGCTACTGCAGTACAATTTCACACAGCGAGATGTGGACAACAGGGATGTTGCATACAAGCACCGAGGTGGGGATTCCCAGATGGACAGATTTACATTTGTTGCCACAGATAGGACTAATCAAGGCTTCATCGTGAATGGGAGAGTGCAGACCGAGCCAGTGGCATTCACCATTCAGGCAAGTGTGACCACAGGCCTACTTTAAAGGGATAAATAGCATGAAAAGCTCAAAAATGCAGTAATTTTTATGAGAACTGATACTTGCTGCAACCTATGATTTAACTGAGGTATTTTTCAGCTACAATGTTTGCTTCCTGTGTTCCATGAATAATTAACCTGGAGAATGAAATACTTGACACAATGCATAAACATAAACAAGTAGATACTCATATATGTAATACTTAAACACTAAAATATTTTACATAGAAATCTCAACTATATAGTTGAGACCAGCTTTGGGAAATATTGAACTTCTTCCTGCTCTGCTTTCCCACTTGATGCCTGACCCCGTGACTTGCACATGAGAGATGCGAGGGTAACTGTTGATCTTTGTGTCACAGGACTCTTGAATTACAGCCACTTTGCTTCCACAACCAGAGAGCCTGTCTTCTGTTTTTTTGTAAGATGCCTGCTCTGATTCTTCCTTTCTTTGCTAGAATCTTTCTGTTTAGTTCCCATTTCCTCCATTGCCAGTTCTTTACACTTTGTCATGCGCTCAGATGTATTTGCTATGATTCCTTGCATGTAGCTGGCATGTTTCAGTGCACGAAGTAGGCCTAGTTGAATTGTATGTCAAAATTCTGGATGTTTCAAAACACTGATACTAATAAGTAGGCTGCCAACATTTCCTGATGACAAAGTTTCAAGTCACATGATGAACGAGGAGTGCAGTTTCAGCAGGGGGTGAGATATGGGAACAGCAACAATCAGTGTGGAATGCTAGCATATTCATCAGAAGTTGTGAAAGGTGGAACAGATTTGAGGAGACATTAGCCATGTCTATTACCGTGATTATCATAACCCTTAGGTTTCCATGCCTGTTACTGTAAAACAGAGGTGACAAACCTTTGCTGAAGTTACCTTTTGCTATGTAGAAAATCACATGAAAAATAAGAAGGACTATGGGGAGTGTGGAACATCAGGGCAGAGGCACAGGGAATTTGTGTTACCCTCCCCAGTGTGTTCTGTAACATGCTGCTAATGGCAAGTGATGGGCAATCCGGGCCTGGAAACTTCTCATGTGAAAGAGAACTTAACTGGAAATCAGATATCTGCAGCAGACTGTGAGCCAAAGTGGCTATTGTCACCCTGAGCCGGTTACTGTGCTTTCAGCAAAAGTAGGACAGAGAATGTCCTGATGCTGTAAAATGAATGTTTAACTTTGATTTAGGTGGATCATTTGGACAAAATGGCACCAAAAATTATTCATCTCCATTGCTTTTCTGATGTGGAACTGCTGAATAATGGCAATTATGGGATCTATATTACTGCCAGGTCCCTGAAGGCATCTGACCCCAATACAGAAGATGACAAAATAATTTTTAAGATTTTGCAAGGTCCTCATTATGGCTACCTGGAAAATACAACAACAGGTGATTTCTTCTATATGCTCTGTATTTTGGGACTAGCAGACCAGACCCCAAAACCTACCCTGTTAATGTTTGCTTGACAGAAGGAATCAAAATTTCTTAGCAAACTTTGGGCAAACTTTGAATGCAGTAAAAAAACTTTTATTATGAAACCTGAGTCTCATGTTCATTATGAGATGATTGTTAGTGTCTTCTGTTGGGAAACTATTTTCTGTTTGTATCAAGAAAAAAAAAGATTAATATCAAACTTGGCCTTTTGATAAAGATGTCACACAAAAAACAACTGGGCTTATAATGGACTGGGATGTTGATGTTTAGGTATAAAACCACTTTTCTGTAAGTTCAGATTTTCAACAAAAAGGTTGAAAAGAGTTTATATAAGCCGTTATTAAGAGACTTTTGATTCATCTGCATATTACTCGTCTTTCCCAGGTGGACTCATTCGGGAAGGGTTTAGCCAAAAGGATTTAAACAACAAAATCATACTTTATGTCATCAACCTGTCACAGGAAGTGAATTCAGACAACTTGGAGTTTCAAGTCATGGATGCCAGAGGAAACTCTGCAGGGCCCCAAAGGTAGCTGCGACCCTCGGTGATATGCGCTCACCACACCCTGGGGCACACGAACTGGTGCTGGGCTTGGAGCCACACAGACATGAACACAGATAGCTACTCCTTAAACTGCCATTGCCTTTGTGGGAGTAGAGGAGGTTTTCTTCCCTCAAGGAGGTGAAATACAAGGGGTTAGCTCCAGTTTAGAGTGGGTCATAGTTCTCAAGGGCCTTTGGGGCCTCTTAGGAAAGCAAAATGGAGTTTACTCTAAGTGGCAGTTGGGCATTTGGAGATCTGAGATGCTGGGTGCTGAAGGATGGGATTACTGCGTCATGAACATGGCTCTGCAGCTGCAGGTCACTCTTGCCCTGTGCTGATGGCAGTGCATTTTTCACAAGTTTGAGATTACAATGGAAGGGATGCTCTCAAGTGATAAAGCTATGAGACATACTTCTGCAAAAGAGCACTGAAAGGAGGTGAAGAGCACACAGCATCTTCTTTGTCATCCACGGCTTATATTAGGCATATTATCCAAATTTCCTTGTGACATATGGTAAACCTCACATAGAAAAATTAGAATATCATCTGAACTGTGCTTGATGATAAAAGCTTTAAGTAGGAGTAGCCCTTCATCATAGGCAATGTTTCTGTTAATTTCCGAAAATAGGACTAAATGTTAAATCAACATGCTTAATAAGTAATAAAAATTGCAAAATAATAACCAATGCTATTTTCCTGGGCTAAACTGGCCACTCACCAACCAGACTCATAGAGGAAGAAAAAGAGCAGAGAGCTGGCTCCAGGGGCAGAGCACTTCCCTGCAGGCTTGAGAGAGGACAGGGATCAAGCAGAGCTCAAGCAGAGATGGAGGGACCTCTTCGGCAGTTATGGGCTGTGCCAAAAGATGTCCCCATACACAAACACATCTGAACATGGACAGCCTGAGCACTGCCCAGCTGCTCTGTGCTGGCTCACAGAGGAACCAATATTAAAACCACCATTATATGATGCCACTTCTCATGGTAAAGTGTGACTTCTTGTTTATGAATACCAATGTGTAGCACAACTTTAGGAAGAGAGCAAAAAAAAGCTCTTTTTAATGGAAAATAGGAGTTTCAGTGAAGTTATACATTAGCAGATCAAAGGAGAATTTGGCTTTAAGCGAAAAAATAATATTTTAATACTAGATTTAAAAGCTCGTGAGATACTTTTTTATTTAAATGATTTATCATCTAAAGATCACTGGTTCAAAATACAAATTTCATTTGTTGTTTATGTCCCAGCTATTATCTGAATGCTGCTGGGCTACATCTGGCACATCCATCCTTTTTAGCAAAAATAAAGCAAACCAGCTTCTAAATGGGTTGCCCTCAAGATTAGCATCAGAGGATAAAGGAGGACAGGAGAAAACTTCCACTGGTGTTAGAGCTAGTCAACCATGAAAGGTCTAGAAGGTTTTAGAAAAGTTCAAATTATTTTGTAAGTAGCTCAGCTCATTTTTTTCTTTGCGCTCTCTTTCATTCCTCTCTGACTCTCAATAATTTTTATCACAGCTTTTACAAAGGTGAGATTTTTATTGACTACCCTGTGCAGCATGCGATCTTCTGAGGTTCAGTCACACCCTCACTATAAACAATTCTAAAATTCAGTGTATGGAACACCTAAACTCAGCCAGGGTGAAGAGTTGAAGAGCAAAGTACAAGTAGTAAAGTAAGGGGAGTGGGGAGGGTGCTGGCACAGAGGCAGTGAAGTCTTAGAGCGTGCTCTATATGCTACAGGAGGAGAGGCAGAGGATCAATGAAGGAAGGTGGGCAGAAAGGAGGATATTGCAGCAAAAAAATGGGAAGTGAGAGTATAATACAACCAGAAGGCTAAAGGGAAGCAGGACAAAAAGTGATAGCTTGTCTTGGCCTGTTTGGTGTTACAGATAAACTGCTCTTCTCAAATTTCCTGCAGAACCCTTTTGGTTGTGAAACAAGGTTCAGGCCTGGTTTAGGGTGGATGACGGTTGGTCTGGAAGATTTACTACAGCCTCTTCCTAATCAGCTAAATCACACATGTTGAAAGACTCAGTATGTGTATTGGCTAAATCAACAGTCGGAGAGAAATGGCTCTTCACACAATCAAGGGCTGGGGATGGCTGGTGGGTGGCTTTGCTTCACACCTGCATTCCTTCCTCTCCCACAGATTGGAGCTAAAGTGGTCTCGGATTGAAATGCAACAGACTGAATATGAAGTGTGTGAGAGCGTAGGAGTGGTGTCTCTGAAAATCACCAGGGCAGGACACTCAGTAGAGTCTGCCTTTATCACTGTGAAGGTAAAGTCAAAAACCAGTGTCCTGAACCTAAACTTAGCAATAAGTAAACCTGCTAATTTCTTCCTCAGACTTAAAAGGTAGGCCATGTGATTCAATCCAGACTTACTGGGACATTGTCCTTGCTACCACAGATGGCTGAAATATTTCTGACAAAACTTCCCGAGTTTTAAGTAGAAATGCTGATTAACCAAACCTGGAATGTTTTGGAGAAGTATTTCAGTTTTGATGGAAAAGTAAAGCAGGCAGTTTCCTCTGGCACTGTGCTCAGAAGCTTGGTTTCCAGGATTTGCCACTTAAAAATCCAGGCTTTGAGCAATGTGGGGCCTTGGGGCATTTGTTTTCCCTACTCAGGCTGGAGAAGCCCAGGAGCTATAGAGGTTTCAACTACACAGCCATGGTAGCGTTTCCCATTTCTCCCCCTACTACCCTTAACCTAGGAAAAAGCCTAAGAAACCTCTATATCTTCAGTGACAGCCTCTCTCTACTGTCAAAAAAATTAGACTGAAGCCTGCACGTTATAATTCTGTAAAACAGGTTTTGTGCAACTTGCCTTCACAAATTTTATCTTTCCTCATAAAAATGGAATTTCCAGGATTTTACCATCTCCCCTTGCTAGAGAAATACTACTTCTTCCCCTCACAGTTTCTCAGGATTGTAGCCCTGATTGGAAACACAATTTTGATTTTTTCTTCTACTGAAGTTACTGGGTATTTTGCTATTGACTCCACTGGGGGCTATCCTGTCCTATCCTTCATGGGCTCCGGTGATTCTACTCTGATTGTCACTAGACTAAACAGACCAGTGAAATTGATCCCAGTATCAAGAACTCAAGTGTGGAAACTTGTCCTCTGGTTATCCCCTATGAAAATTCAGGGAGTTGCTGGAGTCCCTGTATTTACATATATAGGGATTCTTGTCTATCCCGAAGAGTCTTTGGGGCTGACAGACAGCTGTGTGTGCAAACACTTCTTCCAAGACATCACAAAGGGCTAAATAAGAAAATGCGGCCAGGTTGTTGCTGCTTTTCTGAGATGACAGGATGTGCCTGTCCAGGGGCCAGGTAATGGCAGGGTCCCCAGGCACAGAGAACAGCAGTGTCACCTCGTGCTGTCAAGTAGCAATGTGAGAGGGAATGAGGCAAAATTATAAGATCAGCAAATTTTTTTTTTGATGATGTGTATTTTAAGCCATGAGCAAGGACAGAATGCCAGTAGTACATCACAAGATATATTCTTTAGGTCTTTATCTTTTTTTCCAGCCCAAGCACATGTATGGGTTGGCCTGTCTATTTGAGACTCCTTGAAGAGGTGCACAATATCTTCAGCACACAGCAGAATGCTGTGGTTTGGTGAAACAGGTCACAGTTTGGCATTTACTGCTTCATTTCTTCTCAGGTCAATGAAATATCTGCTATGCTGGGAAAGGACTTTACAGTGACTCCCTCTAAGCTTGTTCAGTTTGATCCAGGTATGAACCAGTGCACAGAATAATTCTAAAATTAATTCACAGAAAATGTAAACTCTTGCTTTGGAGAGTGAAATCTGTTACGTATCTTTAACTAGAGGAGCCAAATAGTATTAAAGACACTGGGACTCATTTTCTGGAAGGGCTTCCTTTGTGAATTAGTATCCTTAATACTTAGGGTGAGATGGTATAGGGTCCCTTTACTTCAGTTAAAATACAAAAAGTGCTGAAATGACGACTCCTAATCTCCCTACAGCTAGGCTGGGGAGGACTCATCCTGAATTGAGCTGTGAGATGCTTTAAAAACTTCAGTCATAATTAGTAAAGCCCAGGACACAAATTTGAACAAAACTGAGTACAACTGAAGTTATTCAAGGGTTACAAGATCTTTTCTCATTCACATAATGGAAGCTAGAAGTTACTCAGGAAAGGCAAGGAACCAGGCAAAAATCTTGTGAACAAGTATAAAATCCACCTAAAAGGTTGCACTTCAATCTAAGACAGTCTTTGATCCATTTGCAGGTCTTTTGAATAAGTGTTCCATCTCTAAAATTAGGCTTTTTAGATAAAAACCCTACGATTTTATCTTGAAAATTGCAACGTACTAAAATCTATGTACTCCAGTGCCATTTTGCACATCTACAGCAGCTTTTTGTTACATTGTGTGCACTTGAACAGAACCATCATTGCCCAGGAACAAATTCAAACTTAATGTTATTTGGAAGAACAGCAGGAGTCCAGTCAGTTGGTAGGAGCACAATAGCATACACAAGCTACTCCATTCTAGCTGCAGACATGTTAATTAATATATTTCTTTGACATCCTGATTGACTGAAATAGCACTTAAAGAGTAATTAAAATGTTTATTTTCATTAGGAATGTCAACCAAGACATGGAATATAGCAATTACCTGTGACGGATTAGAGGAAGATGATGAAGTCTTTGAAGTAGTTCTGAACTCCCCTGTGAATGCTGTTCTTGGCACACGGACAAGAGCTGTAGTGAAAATTTTGGACTCAAAAGGAGGTATTCTCTTTTGATCCTCATCATTAAGATGGTGGGACAATCTTGTCTGAGTAGCTACCTATTTTCAACCACAAGTTGTTCCTAACACTCACCTTTAGTTCAAACCGCTTAATTTCTTCTTAGAGAAAACAGGCTCAGCAGTTGCAAACCCTTTATTCTCTCACACAATCATATGCATCCTCTGAGGAAACACAGCATGGAGAAAGCAATGAGCACAAAATAAGAAAGGTGCCAGGAAAGAAAACACTTTTCATAACAACATGAGTTCAGTTCTCATGTATTAAAGTGGGAAAAAATGTTTTTATGTCCATTAGAATGTGTTTTTTCCCAGTTATTGTTTAGCAGTTATACATCTCTACAAAAGATTTACTTTCCTTTCAAAAAAGAAATCTAACAAATGAACCAACTCTTAGCAATATATGTTCCATGCTTAACGAACACAGTCCACAACTTTACAGCACACAGCAGTGATCATTACAGAGTATAGGCTTTTAAGACTGCATTATTATTGTGTTTTTCAGTGGTCAGATGTTGTATGCCTAAAACATACCCAAAAAGAAGCAACTGTAGAAACACAAAAATAGAACAGCTGTAGAAAAATAGAAATAACTAGCAAAGCATCTGAGTCCTCTGAAAGCCGAAGAATGTTTTTTTTCTGGTGTTTAGTGAAACGATTTTAAATACCTATGTTGCAATGAATTAGGCTTCATGTTATAAAAAATCCTTTCAAAATTTCAGATTTGTTTTCTCCTTAACTATCCTAATGTAAATCATAATGTAAATTGACACACTGAATTTGTGGAAACAATAGTGTCCTGTATTTCAGAGGAGGAAATTGTCTGGGCGTGATGGAAGTATCACCAATGGTAGTTAAAGATACCTGTCTCTCTTACCAAAAAAACAGCACTGCAAACCCCAATATATGGAGAAAAACAGGTATTTTCAGCAGATGCTTGGTTGAAATTCTGACCTGTGGGTAGACAGATGCATCACGTGAAAGCATACATATATAGGTAGCATTGCAATCATAGTCATAGCCTACCCCAGAAATGAGGATGACTAAACAAACAGCAAATCAACTACTTCAAGTGAAAGAATCATCCAACTTTTAATGACAAGCTGTTTATGTGCCCATATCAACGTGACCAGTTATCTGCTCATGCAGTTAGAACTGACCATCTGCCATTTTTATGCTTTCAGGTCAGTGCAGCTATTCCCATTCTTCTAGCCAAAGCAAGCATGGCTTCTGGGGGAGAGAAACACTGTTTCCAGTTTCCAAAGGCTCCTCATCACCTTCCAGGCCTGGCAATTTTTCCCTGGAAGGGATCCCACTGCCTCCTTCCAAAGGGATGAGAGAGCATGGAGGGGACCCGTGGCGGGAGCACAGCTTGGTGAATCTGTCAAGGACCAGGCTGAGAGTGACTGGAAATGGCAGAATAGTAAGACATTTCTGTAGTTCAGTGATTGACTGATTTGTGAATTTATTGTGATGTGATATCTTAATTAAACTGTCATATTTTTGTAGTGATCCTACCTGATCATACAATAACTATAAACTACCAGAGTTTGCTCTGAATCAGACCAGAAAGCTATTTAAAAATACTGCAAATAAAAAAACAACCAACCAACCAAAACCAAAACAAAACCAACCAAACAAAAAACCAAACAAAAAAACCCACAAAAATCCATGTGTGCAAGAGAGGAAGAAAAACATGATTTGGGGCAGGAAACAGGCATCAAACAACTTCAGCAATTATGAAGCCTCTCATTTTGTATAAATTATGGGGCAGTTAGAAGAAGAAGTCAGTGGAGCCAGGCAAATGTATAGAACTTGTGCATCTGGTACTGAAACTCTAAAGCTGAAAATACTGTTAGCTTAAACAGGAAACAGTTATTTAAATCTTGCCCGCTGATTTTCCTGCTTAAGTTATATTGGTTTAGCTAGGTGGTTTAATAACTTTCTGCTACTGTAACCTTAAAAGTTAATGGAATCCGTTCATAAAGACGCTTGTAATTTCTGCTTTTTAATGGCTGTTTTCAGAGGTTATCCATTTCTATTCTGAAAGAGAAAGAACTAAAACCTAGACATGCTTTTCATGATTTATAACCTAGATCTTGTAGTAAATTTTGCATAAAGTCTATTTGTTTCTATAATGCATGAATATGCTCATCTTATTCTGCTGTTCTGCTTTTTTCAGGTTCAGCCTTCATCTGTATTTAGAAATGGAACAGATGTGGTTTTCAAAGTAAGAGCATTATGAGTATTGGTCATCCATTTCTGTGATTTCTTTCTGATTCTGTTCTTTCCAGGCTTTATCACTTTTAATAATTTGTTATGACCAGTATGTTATTTTCCTATGTATCTTTCTTTTCCGTTGGTGTAATTTTCCCTTGATTTACAACAATTTGTATTATAATTAATTTTTATTATTATTTATTTAGTTTATTTAAGAGTTGCTTGTATGTACTAACCCTCTCTTTTCCCTCTCTTGTTCTTCTTGCATGTGTGATACTGTAAAACAAAGTATCATGGGATGGTATCACTCAAAATAGAGGATGACACCTCATCAGCTAAAACTAGCAAGAGGGCAAAACCACAGGTAAATGTCATCTCCTCTAAGAAGATAGAAATCCCACAGGCTGATAAGGCAGAACTTGCATCTGAACCAAGTTCAAGACATAAGGTATGAAACATTTTGTTTCATAGGCATTTTCACCATCTGTCTTCAGTCATGCTGTTTTCCAAATTGATTTAACACCTCTGAGATCTGCAGCCTAACCCTTCCCACTCCAAAGCTGAGCTTAACCAATACACAGATAACAACTCAGCCTTTGAAAAGTTTTCATGGCATAAAATTTTGATATAAGGTTTAATTAATCTATTTCATGTTGCTTGTTTGTTTTGTGTAATTATTTTCCTTCCAATGTTATAATGACATTTTCTCTTTCCAGGATTTTTACTCTTTTCCGAAGGCCTGTACATCAGATTTAAAGGGTCTCTTGCATTATGAAGAAAGCACTCAAAAGTTATTTCAGTGTGACGGGATAACATGGAAATTCTGGAATTCCCAAAGCAAGGTAAAAATGTAGCCATGAGTATGCACCTAAGCCAGAGTATGAAGTCTGCAATGAGTGATACTCTCAAACAAATGACTTTCTTTTAACTTGTACAGGGAATAAAAGTGTTGTCCAGAGTAGGTTTGCTTTCAGCAGAAATAAAAGTTTCCCAGAAATATGATGAGGACTTGACTGCTGGGGTTGCCTTTCCTCTCTGTCATCCACAGGTGCTCCTGGACAAACCATGTGAGCACTGGTGCCTTGGTGCTTGTGAGTATGTGGGCATAAGACAGTTTGGGAGTGAACTCTGTGAGAGAATGAGTAACAGTTAGTGAAATTAGCTTACTTAGGTATTCTGTAAACATATATTCCCTCCTTCACGTAAGATGTTATGCTGAATTTTGTTGCCCTGCATTCCCTATGCAGACTGCAGGACACAGTCAGTGGTGTCCAAACTAATACAATCTCTTTAGAGGATTTTTGAACTGAAACCTGTTGTCACCATTAAAACTACTAATTATAAATTGTAGCCTCCTCTGGCAAGCACTTATTTATTTAAATCTTTTAAGCAATGCTGTAGTTTCATTGATACACATTGAAGTTCATGCTCAGTTTAATTCTGGGCACTAGTGTACAGACTATCTGTGCACAGACATCTGCTCACAGATCACTGTGAGCATGTCTGTTTTACCTTTTCTTCTTTTATTTTAGGAGGTAAGCATGAAGAAATGTCCTTCTGGATGGAGTTATCATGAAGGCAGCTGCTACTTCCTGGTAGTGAATCACAAGGTCACCTGGAACACTGCTGCTCAGGCTTGCAGAGAACAGTAAGCGACCACCACGCAAATGTGTTTGATGTGCACTGCTGTTGCCCTGAGCTGCATGCTGCTCTTGAGGCCAAATTTAATCAGATATGCCCCAATTTGGCTGTTCTGCACAGTTCCCAAAAAAACAGAACAATTTTTGGGATTCAGACCCAGTGGAGGATAGAAATACTGTTAGTCTCATAAAGTTTCAGGTGGTGATGCTACCGTATTCCCAGTACAAATTTCCAACGTTGTCCACTTGCATTAAGGATATTTCCTAATGGGAGAGTTAGTCTGAGAGAAGAGAAATACAGCAGTGACTCAGAATTTCATCCTCTCTGACCCACCACTTCCTTGGCTCTACCTTCACTTGATATAGCAACAGTAAGAGGTTGCCAGCTCCTGTGTGCCTCACTGTATTTTTCTGAAGATGCAGCTCTGCAGATTCTGTAACTACTTGAAAACTTTAACTTTCAATTTAACAGTATGTTTCTGACTTTTTAAGGATAAATAAAGGCATAACCACAACAGCAGCAGCAGCAACAACCACAACAACAACAGTAATAGTTGTCTCAAAGTAAGAATCAAATAAAAACCCTGACAGTCTTGCTCTTTGGGCATCTGCTTTGTGATTTTGGTTTTAAGAGCATTAAGTTAGGACTGGAAGAAACGCTATCCATGGTAAAATGAAGCTTGCCCTAGGATCATGCATTCTCTCTACCTTGTACTGAATTATGAGCATCAGGTCAAAGACCAATCTGAATAATAGCAAGGGCTTAAAAAGACCTCTCCATTACTCCGTAAAAGGAAAATTAGAGCAGGGAAGACTCGGAAATGAAAGAAACAGAGTATATTCCGTAAGCAGTGGAAGGACATGCAGGAAACATGAATCACGGCCAAGCGTGCATAACAAACCTTGATTTATTCCACTCAGTTCTGCCAGATCATGTTGTCTTGGTAACATACAAAATAAAAGTGTTGGTTCTAATACCTCCCAGCTATTGGAAGATATTCTTTGCTAAAATGTAAATGTTACCTGCTCTTGTGAGCTCACCCCAAATTTCACATGACTACTTGGTTTACTTAAAATTTCGGCTCCTGAAATTGTTTTCTATTGTCTGCATTTATTATGGTATTTATGCAAAAAAAGCTGTAAATAGTGATATTTTATATTTTTTTTCTGAAGGCTTCAATGTTCAATTGATACCTTGGGAATATATGTCACTCTACTGGGAGGTGTTTCCTATCTCCAAAAAGAGTGTGCTTCTGGGGACCCATATTTTTTGTAGGTGGTAACTTCTCGATGAAGGCTATACTGTACAATGTAGATATTAAACTGAAGAGCAGTAAATAAATGAAAGCAACAGTAAGTAAATGACTGTGTTAAACACCTGCACAAAACGTCAAGGCATATCACTGAGTCCACAAGGAAATGAATCCTAGGGCAGCGATGATTCAATTAATGTCATACTAGCATAGACTTAGAAAGCTTTATCCTGGTAAATGAAGTCCTCCTGTCCTCCATATGGAACAGATTTACAAAAGCACAATCTCAGGAACACACTAAAAATGGGACAAGAAGATAACTTAGTAAATTTTGTTCTGTGCTTTTTCGCAGCTCCTCCTGGCAATCACCACTGCCACTGATTGTGGTATTTCTGTTATTAATACTTACTCTGTTGACATTTAAATAGTTGATATTTCAAACAAGGAAGTAAAACCAACATGGAGGTCAATCTCAATTTTTAATAGATCAAGCAAGCATTAAATCAAAATATTAGAATTGACTTTCAGTAAATCAGCCAACTTCACTGAAAAAGAATAATTTTCTATTACTACAAAAATGACATTACTTTAAACTTCTATTCATTTGTCTTGCTAGACTTTTTCTATTACACAGAACAGGGGAAAAGCACAAGCACTGTTAAAGTTGATTCACTAACAGCCTCCAAATAACCAACCTCCTAGCCTCCTTGAGGAAGCATTGCTATCCTGAGCTGATGGACTGGGCAACAAGCTGTACAAAAAAGAAGTGGGCAGGCTGCAGAGGGTCCAGAGAAGGGCCACAAAGATGATCAAAAGACTGGAAAGCCTGCCATGTGAGGAAAGAAGGTTTAGGGGAGCCCTTATCACCATGTTCCAGCATTTAAAGGGATTCTACAAGGAAGATGGAGACTCCCTTTCTACAAGGAGTCACATAGAAAAGATAAGCAGCAGTGGGAACAAGTTACTCCTAGTGAGATTCCAATTAGACACAAGAGAAGACTTTTTTTCACAATGAGACCATCCATTAGAATAGTTTCCCCAGAGGAGTGGTGGATTCCCCGACATCAGACACTTTGAGGTTCATCTTAAAGTGGACAGGGTGCTGGCCCATCTTGGCTGGACTGTGCTTTTGCCAGAGGGGTTGGACCAGATGATCCTTGAGTTTCCTTCCAACTTGATATTCTGTGATTATATTCCATGAAAGCAATGCTATCAATTTCTTGTGTAAGCAGTTGTTGTCTGGACATAACTATATATGCAGGGGCTTATGCAGATATACTTATGCAGATTTGGGCTTTTATTGACACACATCGCATCCATTTGTTGCAGGTAATATACCAACCTTTCCTTCAGTTTCCATGAGCAGGTTAGAAGCAGAACACATAAATGCGTGTCATGATGCAAGTTGCTCTAGCTTTGTTTGTATGCATGAAGAGGTTCTTGGCACTATGAAGAGAAGCATCTGGGGGATATTACGGCTGAGTGATCCCACAGCAGCCTGATTTAGAAGCAATTTTGGTGATTTATGTCACAGTTCTTGTTTATCCCATAGGAACACATCCTCCCCAAGGGTCAGTACAGCAGGGCTCACTCACATGTGAGATAGTTTCACTGCTGCCACTGAGGAGATGGAACAGCACTGGATAGACAGAACCCACAGTTGTGTCTTTTGCTTTGTTAGTCATATTATACCTTTATCTTCTTGAACATTTAAATAGAGCTCAAATATGGTCAGATTTCAGATCCTTTACTGCTAGCTATGTAAGTCAGGGGCAGTTATTTTGTTTGGTGTTAGTGTATTAGCTGCATATGGCTTCAATCCTTGGGAATCATAGGCAGAACCACATCTAACATAATAGGTTAGATCCTTCAGGATGGCTCAGTGTTGCCTACTGCAAAGCAGGATGGAGCCTGCTGCCCTCCTCTCCTAAAACTGTGCTGATTCTGTAAGTGACAGGTTTAACTTACAGTATTACGAGTGACTCCGGCATGGGAATTCAGGTACCTAGAGTCTATTGTATCTTGTCTGACTTTCAACTGCCATTCTGGAAGTGCAGGGCTCCTGCAAGCTCTGCATCGTGTCTGCCACTCATCTGAATGTTCTGAATACGACAAGGTGTTGTAAGCAACACTAGACACCTATTTCAAGGCATCAGGATAGGTGACCAAACAAAAGACTGGGATGAGCGCAGCCTCTCAGTCACCCCACACCTCCTTCGACATCAGTATAGGACGTGGATTTACTACAACAGTTAAAATTAAATATTCTCTTGTCCTATGGAGACCTTCATACCTAGTCAAATGTGCTTCTTCTGAGGTTAAATTTAACAAAATGGTACAAGACCCTTTAAAACTTATTGGATAATTTAATGGAAAATCAGTAAAGTCTTTGTGCTAAGTGTTTTCCACTTCTACTTCAAGGTCAATAGCTACCCAAAATATTTCCTTAATTTAGGCAACTGCTCAAAGATAAAGGATGCTCTTGATTTGATGGCAAAAATTTTAAAGCCCGTAGGAACAATTTCAAGTGGGCTTTTTAACACAGAAATATAGCATGGCTCCTTATCTTGAGTAATTTACATTAGGAAGTGTTAGATTTACACAACTCCATAAATAATGTTATCTTGTCATTTCCGGTGTCTGACGCTCTGCCTAGAGGTTCAGTAATTAATATTATCAGAAGTGGTATGTTCCTTCAGGACTGATCTCATTTCCCTGCAATACATATAACCCCTTAATTAGGTGTAACAATTAGAACAGTTGTTCTGTCTTCAATAATGCGTGTTTCTCAGGCTGTATTTAGACAGCACTCCTATAGAGAAAAGATTAGATAACGTTATAACTATTTCAGTGCTTTCCTTTCACAGTGCTGAAGTCTCTCTCTGGTATGTGGATTGAAGTAAAAGTCTGAAACATATTTCTCAGACCACCCCTGTATGTCATAAATGATACAGCAGTTACTGACACAGAATGGTACTTTTTGTTTTCACATTTTCACATTTTCACAATTGAAATAACAGGAGTAAGTATGTTTACCTGAAGTAACTTTCTTAGTTCCTGGATTTTGAGTGTCCTTAAACAGAAGCTAGATAAAATGCTTTATTTTTGCTCTTGGTCAGCTAGTAGTGATACCACAGAAACTGCTGCCCAAACCTCTCCTTAGCCCCAGATTTGGTCAGTGCGACCACAGTCACTGTGAGGGGAAATGGTATCCTCCTGCTGAAGCAGTTAGCCTGGGAGAACGCCCTGAATTAACTGAGCCTGCTTTCCTGGACATTTGTCTGCAGAAGAAGATGGAGTACAATACTTTCCAAGAGCTTATGTCAGCCCACTGGAGATTCAGTGCCTGGTAGATGAGCCCAGAAGAGTGGAAGCATGCCACCCTTGGGACACAGAGGCACAAATGCCATGCACAAAATTTCACTGTGATGAGAGACACAGTTGAAGTCCTGCTGAGAGCTTCACTGGGTGCAGTTTTGGGAACCTGTACAATAAGCGGGTGCACAATCTCAAACCCTACCAGGCAGTTGCTAACCCCTTTGGAAAGACATGAGCAATGTTTCTGAGCCATCCCACCACACCTCTGTGTGAGGAAAGTGTACACAGAATTACAGAGTATGCTGAGTTGAAAGGGACCCACAAGCATCATTGAGTCCAATCCTTAGCCCTGCACAGACCATCCCCAAGACTCATACCATGTGCCTCAGTGTTGTCCAAATGCTTTTTGAACTCTGTCAGACTTAGTGCTGAGACCACTGCCTTGGGGAGTCTGTTCCAGTGCCTAACTACCCTCTAGGGGAAGAACCTTTTCCTAATACCCAACCTAAACCTCCCCTGACACAACTTCAGGCCATTCCCTTGGGTTCTGGTCACCACAGAGAAGAGATCAGTGCCTGCCCCTCCTCTTCCCCTCACAAGGAAGTTGTAACTGCAATGAGGTCTCCCCTTTGATCTCCTCCAGGCTGAAAAGACCAACTGACCTCCGCTGCTGCTCATATGGCTTCCCCTCAAGGCCTTTCACTGTCTTCATTGTCCTCCTTTGGACTCTCTCTAAGAGCTTAATATCTTTCTTATATTGCAGTGCCCCAAACTGGACACAATGTTCAAGGTGAGGCCGCCCCAGTGCAGAGCAGAGCGGGACAATCCCCTCCCTCAACTGACTGACGAAGCTTTGCGTGATGCCCTCCAGGACACGGTTGGCCCTCCTGGCTGCCAGGGCACTGCTGACTCAGATTCAACTTGCCTTTGACCAGGATCCCCAGGTCCCTTTCTGTGGCACTGCTTTCCAGCATCTCATTCCCCAGTCTGTCCAAACATTCCAGGTGCAGAATCCGGCACTTCCCCTTGTTGTACTTTGTTTGGTTGGTGATTGCCCAGCCCTCTGATTTGTCGAGGTCTCTCTGCAGGGCCTCCCTGCCTTCAAGGGAGTCAACAGCCCCTCCCAGTTTTGTATCATCTGCAAACTTGGTTCATTTGAGACATCCTTCTGTTTTCTGGTGGTCCCTGAACTTAGAGGGTCCCTGTCTGGACCTATATTACTTGTCTAGGCCAGCCATGATTCCACAGGTGAGGGCTAACACCCAGCTGTCCTGCAGGCCTTGGCAGATCCACCATGCAAAGTAGAGCAGAGAGCGACTCCATCCCCTGCTGTTTTGGTTGACTTGCAGGGATAGTGGAGGAGGCCTTTGCAGCAGGAGCATCCTCCATCAGCATTACAATGAATTTGTTCTGTACTATTCCCTTCTGGGCCCAAATTAAGGAATGGTCCATTTGTGCAGTAGGGACTGTGTAGAATATTTGTGGACTACTACTCTGAACTCCTCCTGATGTAAATTTTTGCTGCTTCCCTGTCTTGTGTGGCATCATATGGAATCCATGGCATCACTACTCTCAGAAGAGGTAGAGGGCAGTAACAGGAATGGAGCTCCAGGCATGGGTCTCTAACTGGGCAGCAGGCTTGATGGTGGGCTTGCACTACCATCATGGTCTCCATAGTGGACTCACGTCTGTCCTGTAATTCTTGAGACCTGGTTGTTGTTCCAGCTCTTAAGACAGTCTTTACTTCATTTGGAGGAATAGTGATCTTTTGTCTCTGTTTACTGGCAAAAGTACTGAAATTAGCAAAACCTCATAAAGCCGTTGGCTTATTCTGCTTCTACAAAAGGGGTTTTTGCTCTCTTAAAACATGTTCTGATGAGCAGTGTTGTTTGCTTTGGCCCAATCAAGCATCACCCGGGACGTTATGAGAGGCTGAAAGGGTTGGAATCACTGTTAGATTGAGTGGCAGTCAGAAATATTGGACAGATATGACAGCATCAGAGGGATGGCAACAACAGGCATGACAAGTAAAAAGCTGACATGATATCAGTGCAGACAGAAAGACGGATAAATAGGAGAATGAAGCCACTGATGGCTGACAGTGTCTGACAAATTTGAAGAATACCATTTGTCTTAATACTTCAGGATTTAGATTGGCCTCTAAAAGGCTTAAGAGCAGCCTGCAGGTACTTACATGTTTGGTACCGGTTGGAAGACTTGTCAGTGGCAAGGCCACTCAGTGGCTAGGGTTTGCAAATACTCCTTTGGATACAGCATTCTTTAGGTACAAATGCAGAGCAGAACTTATATATTGACTTAATTCAGAAATAGTCTGCTTTATACACACCACAACTGCTCTCCATTGTGAATTAAATGTGTAGTCATTGTAGACAACCCTCTGAAGAATGGGCTGCTCCTCAGAGCCTTTTCAGATATGAAACTTCTTGTGAAGAGCAACTTGGGAAACCCATGGTATACCTGCATTTACCGAGTGCAGGTTCATAAAAGAATGGAAAAACAGAATACCTCAACTGAAAGGCAAAATTGAAAAGGATGAAAATACTAAAGAAGAAAGAGGGTGGGATAGGTGGAGAAGAGAGAAATGCAGGGAATGATGTGACAGCCTGAATGTTGATTTTAGAGGGTGCATGTGTTAGCTGTGACAGGGAAGATTTAGCTTAGATATTAGGGGAAGATTCTTTCCCCCAGAGGGTGGTTGGGTGCTGGAACAGGCTCCCCATGAAAGTGGTCACAGTACCAAGCCTGACAGAGTTCAAGAAGTGTTTGAACAATGCTCTCAGGCACATAGTGTGATTCTTGGAGCTGTCTTGTGCAGGGCCAGGAGTTGGACTGCAATGATCCTTGGGGGTCCCTTCCAACTCAGGACATTCTAAGATTACTTTTCAGAACCACACCACCACTTAAATCTGTTACTCAAAGCTTCAGTCTTTTCAGAACCTGATTTTAAAAAGATACAGTCTGCTCTACTACCAAATGAGTGAAGCTGGCTTTTCTTTCAGTGGCTTGGATTTTTGTGAAGGAAGTTATTATTTTATGGAAAATGTGGTATCAATAATTGTGCTAATGTTTTAAAACACAGTTTGTGAATATGAGGCACGTACTTTCAGTATACGTTTTTTTTCAGTTGCTCAGCTGATTCAATTTTTCTGTTAGAAAAATAAGACTAGGACTTTGGTTCCTCTCCACGTAATCCACAATTTTAAGACTTTATTTCCATGTAATTATTATTTCATTTCAGTAAGTCATGGGGTTTTTTTCCTGTGACAAGTTACTTATATGCTTTATACTAGAACCAGTGCCCCTTGTTGATAAGTTGACCTGTCTGTCACTCTGTGGAATGCTAATTACTCTGTCCTCTCTTCTTGAGCCTAGATACCTGGGGAGTCTAGCAAGTGTGGCTAATGAACAACACATGCAGTGGCTGTGGGACTTCGGTGGGAGGATGCCCTTTTGGATAGGCAAGTATATCCACTGCCTGTCCTCTCTGAGCATTAAATTCCTGTGCACCTTGAAAAGCAGGAACTGCCACAGCAGGTCCAGCCCAGTTTTCAAACATTGCATTGTACTCAACTTTCTGCTGCTTTTATTAGTTCAGAGCAAAGCGTAAGCCAAAAGCATAATTTACCTCACTAATTTTATAAGTCTTTATCAAAAAGAAGAGTTTATCGTGTTGCCCATTGCTGGATAGTTTTTGTCTTGAAACCTTTCCCATTTTAACACAAGCTGATGAAAATAGCTCCTACACTTTTATTTATCTCACCATTCTTTTGACTGTTATTTTATTTATCTTTAATTTAGCTTTTTTTATTTGTTAGTTTTAACTTTAAACAATTATGTATGTTCCTGCTAAATTAATGATGCCATCTTGTGTCAGAATTCTTATGAATTAATTAGATGAACATTTCATCATATCATTTTAGATTTAGCTAGTTCTTATTATGCACATTATATTTAGTGAGAAATGGAAAGAATTCAGATGGGTCTTCTTGTTTCTGCTATACTGTCCTCAATTTGGTTCTTATTTTTCAATTCTGATCTGCAATTGTCAGCTCTAAGTAATTTTCTGAGATTAATTTACTAGCTATAATAAATTAACTTTAAAAAATACAGTTAGTTTGGAATCTTGTTTAGTGGTCTCATGATTTTGTTAACCTGAGAGAAATAAATTCTGCTGACAAGAATAAAGACCACAGGACTCTTATGTCAATTTTCTGATTTTGGTCACTCTTAAGAAGACAAGTCTTATCTAAAAATATGTCACCCACCTTACCCTCTTAGTAACTCAGAGGCTAAGTGAAAAGATATGTTTTGTGTTGTACTAATTAACACAACCTAATTTTACAACTGTTAATCTAAATGGTGTAAACAAGGTCTAAAAACATCTGCAGGATTTTACATTCAGAAGAAATCTGAAGGCATCTGAGGCTGCCCAGACTAGAATATAATATTCTCCTTGCTATCTCAAGTATCAGAACAGAAACTGTAAAGGCATAGACATGTGATAGATGGAAAGAGGAAAAACATTTTAGATAGGCGCTAATGTGGAAAAGTATGTTTTTCTTATTCAGATGGCCCTAATTGTGATTCAAGTGGCCTAATTAAATACTAAATTGTGTTTTATTTGTGTTCCATCAGATGGGTTTTTCTCAGCGCTAAATTGTATGCATTTTTCAACAAAGATATAGAACAAAATACTTCTCTTGGCATCGGGCTCCAGAGACAGAAAACATCACTGATTTGGTCTTACTGATTTCACACAGGCTTGAATGACCAAGTCAATCCTGGACATTGGGAGTGGAACGGAGGAGAACCTGTAACCTACATAAACTGGAGAAGAGGCTCCAACCGCTTTCCAGTGAGAGGAAGAAATTGTGTATTTGTGCAGAAGCGAGGAAAATGGCAAGCAACTGACTGCAAGAATGTCAGACCAAACAGCTATATATGTTCAAGAAAGTTGTAAGAAATGGAGGATGCCTGTGAAAGCATAAGTGGACATTCATGCTGTTTCAGTGTATTATCTGCAGACATGGGAGTATAGTTAGAAAACTGTCCTGATTATCAGCAAGGTTTATGTTATATGCTGCCAGAGGTGCAGATGCACTGCCTCTAACCAAGGTATAGAGGTCCACTGCAAAGTTTAAGTCTAGATTAAATTTTGAATTCTCCCCAAAGACATTGATATATCACTTACTCGTATGTATTTTTACACCAAAGAGCTAGGCCTCAGAGCTTTCATTGCACTTCTGTGTAAAAGTACTTAAAAAAAAAAAAGTAGCAAATCAGTTGATTTGCTTTGCTCTTAAGGAGGGGTTGTGAATTGGCTGTTGCTTTAATTTGTTTGCAATAAAAACTGCAGTCACAAAAGGAGGAAGACTGCTGGGGGTGAAAATGGGGCCAGACTTTTGGCTAGAACCAGGTCCTCTTGGGTGATGAGGGGAGTGACATCATGTAAGCACACAGGGCTTCTTTGGTTGATGCCTTAGTGCAGTGTCTTACAAAAGTACCACTGGTTGGATTTAGTGACAGAGTACAACAGGAGCAAAGTCTGGGGTTTTTTTTCCTACCTCCCAAGGCCAATTCTGGATCCCTATGGATCTGTTCATACAGAGTTGCATATTGTTTCATATTCCTAACCAAAATTTTTAATTGTTTTTTTGAATTGCAGGATACTGGTGTAATTTTTAGTGTAATTAAATAATGGGACATCTCTACATCTAATGTTATATCAAAAGAATGATTTATTAAAAAAATACTGAAGCTTAATCCTAGAATATTATCTTGGGATATTCAGTGACACATGAACATCAATAGGATTTATATGTGTGTATAAACCAATGTAATCATGAGACATATTTTGTACTAAAGCAGCTATGGCTTTTGAAAAGTATTAATCTAAGTCCTTATTAGGGATTTGAGGTTTATGAATAATATTTAAAAATCCAGATTTATTTCTGAGAAAGAGTTTAAAATCAGCCGTTAATAGGAAAAAAAACAGTTGGCCATAAGTTATTATTTTAGATATACACAGTTGCAGTATAACCATTTTGTAACATTGTAATAAATTTATATTTGACCTGTCAAAAGCTTGCTTTAGGACCTTCTTACTGCCGCCCTTAACATTAAAAAAAAAAGAAACCAGGCATAAGTTTCCCAAAAAATATAAAATTCAAGCTCCCCTCAAACCCTCTCTTTGCCCAGTGGGTGACAGTTGGTCTGGTACTGAGTGGGGTAAATTTACCCTGTACCTATGAACTCTCATCCCCCCCATCTGTCTGCCAGCTGCCACCAGTTGATCCTCCCCTTAATCATCTGTTCAGCCAGCCTCTGGATCAATTTTGCCCCAAAGGTGCAAAACCTCCTTCTAAGGTTTCTCACAGCAATTTCTCAGTCCTGCACGGGACAGATGCAACAGAATCACCTCTCCTCTCTGGGCTGAGGGACACTTTCAGGGGTTATATATCCCTCTTCCTTGCCTCTGGTGTGCATTGGTTACTCATCCTCCCTCCTTGCCTGTGACAAGTTAAATCAATATGCATGTGAGTAGCTGGACAGCCTTTGTATATAGGAAAGAACCTTTCTGAAAGGGCTGTTGCCTATAAACATGAGCGTATTACAAAATCAGAGAAAAAAGAACTGCAGACAGAGCTTCCTCACCCTTATTGTTGCTATCAACAGATACAGACAAAAATATTTCCAGGATTTCTCTCTATTTTTTCCTTTTTTTTCCCCTTTTTTTTTAATGATAATATTTATGACAAGCTTCTAGACACTTTTTCTAGACATTAGCTCTTTTGTTTAAGAAGTTTTCTAAATCAACATATATAGGCTAATTGTCTCCAAACCAGGTACTCCTGAGTACCCATCCAGACCTAATTTTATTTCTGATAGTTTTCATTACAGAAAAAAATTAGCATCTAAAAAAGCACTCTTGAGATCTCTCAGTGGTGTGTTATGGAATTCCAGGGAAAGCTGACTAAGAGAGACACAAGCATAAACTTTTATTTCTTTATGACCCTCTTTTAATAAAAGCTGTAGAGTTTATTGGTGCTATCTTTATAAAGCCTATTGAGATTGCCCAAATACCTCTCTAAATTATTTAATAAATGAATTATATCAATGAGAGGGAATTTGAAAAAGGTGCTTGTTACTCGATCAGTAACTAATAAATGACTCATGCCATCTGAGACAACAGTGACCTCAGGTTTGTCTTTGTAAGAAGAGGGGAAATTTTCCCTTTTCTGTATTTCATTTGAACTGCCTTAAAGTGATTGCAGAGTATGAAGATTCACTACACAACAGAATGTTAGGTGTGCAAACTGTATGTGCTACTGTTCTAATTATACCTAATACAATACACTAATGAAACAAAAATTCTTATATTGCAGTGCAAGTTTATTTCTGCTCTGAAAGGCTGCTGTATTGTTTTTCAATATAATCAATTCTTCCAAATGTTTATTAATAAATTTTAATTTTTCTGTCCTTAAAAGAGAAGTATTTTTTCAGAGATTTTTACAACTTTTATTTTTATTATTAGAATACTGGAGTTCAATGAATACAGCATACTCGGATCAGGGAAAGTAAAAATAAGGGTTTTTTTTCCTGTTGACATAGGAAATTATTGCATCTAAGAAGTTTAGTAAAGGATGGGCCTAAAACCCTGAGGAGCTTTGGGGATATTTCCAGTCTTCAATACTTTTGAATTAGACTGAGTAAACTCAGGTAAAAATCAGTATTTAGAGGATCAGCATCAGCAGGGGAATTTCAAAACGCTGAAAGTAAGAATAAGGAGTGTGTAAATTCTGGTGTTCGCCTATGGATGTCACACTTTCTGGATAAACAAAGGATTTATTTCACCAGAACTATCCATATACCTTTTAAGAGCAATAGAACCAAGATGCAACAGCTCAGTGAAAAGAACCCAGTACTTAGCCTAGATTTCTATAGTGACGGGCAGTGTGAGTTCTTTGTGTGCTTGTCACTTTTAACCACCTTCACTCCCTGTCAAATATCTTTTAAATATGTTGACCAATTTCAAACAAATTTGATAGAAAAGTAGTTGACTCAAAGACAACAGTTATGAAAAAATGGCTAGGCAACCGGTCACAGGAACACTTTTTCCAAACCAAAATATTCCAAAATATTTGTGTTGCTATTAACTTTAAAGTATCAAGTTTTTAGTCTGAAAAATATCAGAAAAGTTTTTTTTTCTACACATGGAAACTCACTGAATGTTTTCAAGTCTTTATTAACTCAAATTATAAAAATAATTTGGAGAGAATTATGTGTAAGATTCAGTGAATACTGTGATTCTACATTATTTACATCACAAGACTGGTGCTACTGTAATTCTTGTATTCAAATGCTATATATATTGTTATGTTTAACTCTGTTATGTATTCTAATAAAAAACCAAAATATACTTTGGTGAATATGTACTTCATTTCATCATCTCAAAACCTTTTTCTCAAGTGATAAAGCTATAGTGTTTAGCATAGTAGAAATGCACTTAGAGTTAAGCATAATGTACCTGCTGTTTACTCTATGCAGTTTCTGAATTCTATTTCTTCTTCTGCTTGGGCCTGTTCTTGAATTAATATTATAATCACATTTGTACCATGAGTTAAATTCTCTTTGTACCATGAGTTAACTTCTCTTATGAGGAGAAACTGAGGGAGCTGGGCCTGTTTAGTCTAGAGAAGAGAAGACTTAGAGGGGATTTCATCAATGCACACAAAGATCTGAAAGCTAGGTGTCAAGAGGATGGTGCCAGACTCTTTTGAATGGTGCCCGGCAACAGACAAGAAGCAGTGGCCATAAACTAGAACATAAGTTCCACCTCAATGTGAGGAAGAATTTCTTTACTTTGAAGGTGGCAGAGCACTGGAACAGGCTGCTCAGGGAGGTCATGGTTTCCCTCTCTGGAGTATTCAAAACTCACCTGGACGTGTTCCTGTGTAACCTGCTCTAGGTGACCCTGCCTTGGCAGCTGGGTGATCTCCAGAGGTCCCCTCCAACCCTAATGACTCTGTGATTCTGTGAATGGGAATCTGGTATCTGAAGTACTGGTTATAAGCACAGTGAGTAAAAGAATATAATTTTATTCATACAGATGAAATTTTCAAATACGTATAAATATATTTTTAATTAAATCTTATCTGCATCTTCTTCCTTGGAATGGCACGAACATTTTGTTTGTGTTGTCAAACTCTTCAGTGAATCATCTCTCTCTCTCAAATTGTTCACGCCAACCTAAAAAGATGTGTCTTTGCCCAGACTCTTTCTCCCCTGTCCCACAGTTAGCAACCTGAAACAGTGAAGCACATACCCAACAGAGCTCCTCAGGCTGGTTCTGAAGAACTCATGAAGAATCTAGGAATATAGTTAGGTCATGTAGAAAGAAAATTAGACAGACAAAGGCACAATTTGAACTCAATCTAGCGACTTCTCATAGGGATAACAAGAAGTGCTTCTACAAATACATCAATAGCAAAAGGAGGGGCAAGAAAAACCTCCATTCTTTGTTGGACATAGGGGGAACATAGTCACCAAAGATGAGGAAAAGGCTGAGGTACTTCACACCTTCTTTGCCTCAGTTTTCAACAGTAAGACAGGTTGTCCTCAGGACAACTGGCCTCTGGAGCTGGTAGACAGAGACAGGAAGCCGAGTAGCCCCCCTGTAATCCAGGAGGAAACAGTTAGCAAGCTACTGAGCCACTTGGATCCTCACAAGTCTATGGGACTAGATGGGATCCATCCTAGGGTGATGAGAGAGCTGGCAGAAGAGCTTGCCAAGCTGCTTTCCATCATCTACCAACAGTCCTGGCTCACTAGGGAGGTCCCAGATGATTGGAAGTTGGCAAATGTCACGCTGATCCACAAAAAGGGTCGGAAGGAGGACTCGGGAAACTACAGGCCTGTCAGCCTGACCTCAGGGCCTGGCAAGGTTATGGAGCAGATCACCCTAAGCAGTCACAGAGCACCTACAGGATGGACAAAGGATCAGACTCAGCCAGCACGGGTTTAGGATGCGCAGGTCCTGTCTGACCAACCTGATCTCCTTTTATGATCAGGTGACCCGCCTGATGGATGAGGGGAAGGCTGTGGATGTGTCTATCTAGACTTCAGCAAAGCCTTTGACATCGTCTCCCGTGGCATACTCCTGGAAAAGCTGGCAGCCCACAGTTTGGACAGGGGTATTGTCTGCTGGGTTAAGAACTGGCTGGAGGGCCGGGCCCAGAGAGTGGTGGGGAACGGGGCTGCATCCAGTTGGCAGCCGGTCACTAGTGGTATCCCCCAGGGATCAGTGTTGGACCCAGTCTTGTTTAATATCTTTATTGACAATCTGGATGAGGGGATTGAGTCCACCATCAGCAAATTTGCAGATGACACCAAGCTGGAGGGGAGTGTTGATCTGCTGGAAGGCAGGAGGGCTCTGCAGAGGGACCTGGACAGACTGGAGGGTTGGGCTGATTCCAACGGGATGAGGTTCAACAAGGCCAAGTGCCGGGTCCTGCACTTTGGTCACAACAACCCCCTGCAGTGCTACAGGCTGGGCACAGAGTAGCTGGAGAGCAGCCAGGCAGAAAGGGACCTGGGAGTTTGGATTGACAGGAAGCTGAACATGAGCCAGCAGTGTGCCCAGGTGGCCAAGAAGGCCAATGGCATCCTGGCCTGGATCAGGAACAGTGTGGCCAGCAGGTCCAGGGAAGTGATTCTTCCCCTGTACTCAGTGCTGGTGTGGCCACACCTGGAGTACTGCGTCCAGTTCTGGGCCCCTCAGCTCAGGAAGGATATTGAGGTGCTGGAGCAGGTCCAGAGAAGAGCAACGAGGCTGGTGAAGGGACTTGAGCACAAGTCCTGTGAGGAGAGGCTGAGGGAGCTGGGATTGTTTAGTCTGGAGAAGAGAAGGTTCAGGGGAGAGCTCATCACTCTCTACAACTCCCTGAAAGGAGGTTGTAGCCAGGTGGGGGTTGGTCTCTTCTCCCAGGCAACCAGCAGTAGGACAAGAGGGCATGGTCTTAAGCTGTGCCAGGGGAGGTTTAGGTTGGATATTAGGAAAAAATTTTTTGCAGAGAGAGTAATCAGACATTGGAATGGGCTGCCCAGGGAAGTGGTGGATTCACCGTCCCTGGAGATTTTTAAGATGAGATTGGATGTGGCACTTAGTGCCATGGTCTAGTAACCATAGTGGTGTTGGATCAAGGGTTGGACTTGATGATCTTGGAAGTCTTTTCCAACCCAGTCAATTCCATGACTCTATGATTCTATGATTCTGAAATTGGATACACTCTCAGGCAGTATATATGTGCCAGTACCATTCAGGAGATGCTTCAGAAGGTGGACACCTGTTCAAAACTTATGAGTCTGACAATTATAATAGAGAGAGAACCTTCCATTGCATCATCTGTGTGTACCTACAGACACAAGAGCATGGGCCAATACACATGAAAGGACACTCATCCTAGCCCTGCTCAAGACATGAATGAACATTTTCAAGTGTGAGCACCTGCACTTTGCCTGCAGTATGAAACAATACTGTTCTCAGTTCTGTTGCCACAGCATACAGAAAAGAACAGAGAAATGCGAACAGGAAGATTTAAATGAGTGAAGAAACAGAGGACTTGAAACAGAATAGCAAAGGGGGAATTCATGATGTAGAGTATCTAAGGTTGAAGGTACAAAATTAACAGACCTATTGTCTGTTCTTTCATTTCATACCTTGTAAAAAGCCTTTCAGTTTCGTAATTACAAATTTCCCACGAGGCCTGTATGTGATCTGTTTCCCTGAAACTCTGTAAAACAAAGACCACAGATGGCCTTCTTTGATAAGTACAATAATTGGAGAATAGACTGCATAGTGCTAATTCTTTAGTTCTGAGGTCTTCATATGGAAACTGTAAAAGATATATCTGGATACCAGTTTGTCTACATAGGATGTGTTTTGTCAAATGATAAGATATTGAATTGGACTGTAATCTATAAAATCCATTTTAAGGATTTAATCATCAACCATGGTATGATGAGACTATTTAGCTCAACAGAAGGCAAGTAATTCAAGCACTACTCAAGAATTATTTTTAGGCATCAACTGGCAGCATAGCTAATTACTCAGTTTATGTCCATAATGACTGAATAAACTCTGGCTCTGAAACAAATGAATAATACCACTTTGCATTTGCATAGCACTTGTCATCTATAGACCTGACAGTTTTAAAAGGATGGGCAAACATTCACAGTGACTATTTCTAGTGAAAACAGTGTCCTGCATAAATTGCTACTGTGAAGGCAAATCAAAGCCTGCTTGAAAGACACTGCTGCATTTAGCCACAAGATTTAACAACCAAAATACAGTGAAAACATATGCTATGCTTATATGAAGGGGTAATTAGGCAGGAAAACAAGTTTTTAGAAAAGAGATGGCATTGTTTTTTGTAGAAATCTGAGATTAGCTGTATTTAGAACATAATGATTATGTGCCCAGTCCAATCCCTGTAGTCAATTATTGGTCTATGTAGTGGATGTCACCACAAAGAGACTTGCAAATGCTTACTATTTTTAATTTCAGAATTACTCTCTGAGATCACTGTCTGAGTTGGGATGCCTTCCCATAAAGCAGGCAGGTTCCTGCCAGAGCTGAGAAGCTAAGAAGAGATCTACTACCTGTGCACAGTAACACAGGCAGCTGACTCTGAAACACATTTAGGCAGTATTTAAATATAGAAAAAAGTGTGCCCAGATGTGCCAGGTCCCATTTCTTACCAACTTTGTCTCCTGGAAATCAGCCATAGCATACTATTGTAGGCACGAAGGAACATTGTTAGACTTGCCTGGCAGAACCAGAGCTGGCATGCTGCTTTTGGGTCTCAGCAGATCTTAGGTAAAATCATCCAAGAAAACCCATGAACTAGAACTGGCTTGACCTAGAAGTGAAGAGGGCTCCTTTATCAGCCTTTGGGTTGCGGACCAGCTTGTGAAGTTACTTGCTGACACTGATTTGCTTCAGTCTTCTTCCCTACACTTCTGTAAATAATATTTTGTGCCTTTACATCTGAAGCCCTCAAAGGCAGGCCTTTCTTCTTGCTGTATGTTACATGACAGAAGAGTACATAATGGAAATGGATTCTTATCTTGGACAGTTTTTTTTCAGTGCCATTGTACTGCAAATATAACATCAACATCTATACATATATGTCAATACTAAGATTTTTATATATTCCTTGTAATCATTTGCACTGCATCAATAACCCAGTCCAGTTTAGTTTACTTAGTCTGGGTAGTCGAATTATTCCAGTTACTTAATTTTTATCTACATTGACAGAGACATCCTTAGATGTCTCTGCAAATATATAAGTTGCTTCA